TTATATAATTTAAATAAATTATTTTTTAATTATTTCTAAAAATATAATAATTTAAAGGCTTTTAGGGAAAAGCTAGTTCTATATCCCTAGAGGGCTTAAGCGACGTTATTATATATTTAAAAGATATTTTAGAAGATATAATATTAAAAGACTACTTTTATATACCTTAATTAAGTATTAATATAATTAATCTATTTATTTTAGATAAAATAGGTTATTTATATATTAGAGGAAATAATTAAATAAATCTATATTATAAAGATATATATATAATAATAGTACCTCTTAAAAATAATCTATATTAGACTTCTACTTTAGTTCTTTAATATAATATAAAATCTATTAATAAGTCTAGATTTCGAGCTATATTCGATAATCTTTAAAAGAATAAATATAATAGGTTTAAGAATAATTAAGAATTAAAGTAGAAAATCCTCTATAATAATATATATAAAATAAAGATTAATAATAGACTTAAATCTAATATTATAATATCTTTAGAAGAGGCTTATACCTTATATACCCGATTTATATATTATAATATAAAGGCCCTAAAATCTATATATAAGAGGCCTATAAATATTATAGCTATATATAAAATAGAAAATTATAAAGTCTATAAAAAGGGTAAATTTATTAATATAATAAATAAGATATCCTTTAATAAATATAAAGAATATATATATTTAGAGAATCTATATATAGACTTAATAGGTCCTATAACCCCTATAATTTATAATAATAAAAAATAGATTCTCTTTATAAAAGATAAATATATTAAATATATCTAGATATTCCTATTATTTAATAAATTAAAGGAAATCGTTTCTAATAAGCTTAATAAGTTCTATTAAGAAATAGAAAATAATAAGCTTAATTATAAAATAAAGGAATTTAATATTAATAGTAATAAAGAATTTATAAATAAAAGTATTAAAAATATATTTATAGGAATAAAATATATAATAAAACTATTATATATTTATAAATTATAAGGGTTTATAGAATAAGCTATAAGGACTATAATAAATAAAATAAAGTCCTTAATTTTCTATTTAAGATTACCTTTATATCTATAAGGAGACGTAATATATACTACTATATATATATATAATAGAACTCCTAATAGCTTTATAGGGTTTAAAATACCTTATAAATTAAAAGAAAATAAAATATTTAATATCGATAATATAAAAATATAAAGTTCTATAGCTTATTATAAAAATAAAGAACCTTTAATAAAGAAACTAGATAAAAGAGCTAGTAAATCTATCTTAATAGGTATAGACGATTATAACTATAAAATATATAATACTTAATCTAGGAAGGTTATCTAGACTAGAGATATATATATATTAGAAAATAAATTTATTATTCCTATATCTATACCTTTAATAATAGAAAAGAACCTTCTAAATTTAGAAGACTTTAAATTATTTAATTTAGAAATTAATAAAATAATAGCTTTACCTCTAATTAAAGGTAATAATAATATAATTATTAATAATATAATTAATAATAAAAACCTAAAAATAATTATAGAGCTTCCTAAAATTTAGAAACCTAAAGATTATATTTATATAAAATTAGCTAATTTATTAAATATATTAGATATACTATTAAGGGACTCCTTTAATTTCCTAGGCTAGAACTATATCTTTACTATAAATAATATAAAGGAACCTACTATTTATAGCTAAGCTATTAATAGCTTTAATAAAGATAATTAGAATAAAGCTATAAATTTAGAATTTTAATAATTAATAGATTAAAATACTTAGTCTTTAATTAATAAAAATACCCTATTTAAAGAAGCTAATATATTAAGGGGTAGATAGATTTATAAAATAAAATATAATATAAATAAAAATCTAATAAAATATAAAGCTAGATAAGTAATTTAGGGATTTAATTAAATTATTAATATAGATTACTTAAAGACCTTTAATACTACTTATAAGCCTAAAAGCTATAGATTAGCTTTTATATTAAGTCTAAGTCTAAGCTAAGATTTAAAATAATTAAATATTAATAATATATTCATTTATATAGATATAGATAAGGATATATATATTATTTAACTTATTAGTTTCTCTATACTAGAAAACTAAATATATAAGCTAAATAAAGCCTTATATAGGTTAAAGTAGTCCCTTAAGCTCTAGTACGAATATCTACTTAAAGCTTTAAATAGCTTAGGTTTTAACGTATTAGAATCTAATTTAAGGGTACTTATATTACCTTTAAAGGCTATATTATTCTATTATATTAACGATATAATTATAATAGCTAAAATAGCTAAAATAATATCTATTATATAAGCTAAACTTTAAACTATATTAAATCTTAAAGATTTAGGACTTATTAATACCTTTTTAAGTAATAAAATAATTATAAATAAAGAAGAAAAGCTTCTATATATATCCTAAAAGGTATATTACGAGAAAATTCTTATAAAATATAATAAATTAAATTTAAAAGTAGTAAATACGCTTAATATATTAAAAATAGCTTTAATACTTAATTCCTTATAAGCTATAAATTTAGAAATCCTCTAATATTAATAGGAAATAGGCTCTTTATTATATCTAGCCTTATATAGTAGACTAGATATTACTTATTTAGTAAATAGATATTCTAGATATATAAGTAACCCCTCTAAAGAGTATTTTATTACTTTAAATAGAATATAGGCTTATTTAAATAAATATCCGGATATAGGTCTTATATATACTTATAATAAATCCTTTAATATAATAGGGTATAGCGATTCTAGCTAGAGCGATATATTAGAAGATAGAGCTTATACCTCTAGATATATATTCTACTTAGGAATTAATAACTCTATAAGCTAGGTTTTAGCTAAATAAAAGGTAATAGCTTTATTTATTTATAAAGCTAAATATATAGCCTTATACGAAGCCTCTAAAGAAGCTATATATATTTTTTCTATTTTTTTAGCAATTTTGTTCCGCGTGGAATGCCCGCCGCCCACGTCGGTTTCCCCCTCTGGAAATGGCGGTTGCGGGTGGGTCGCTTCATTCCTCCCCCACACACCTGCTCCCACTACGTGATTCGCTCTTTTCTGCCGCCCCCCTCCACGGTACGTATCTTTTTCTGCCGCGTATAAAATCAACGTCACGCCCTCATGAAAGTCCAAAATTTGGGCCTTCTTGATCTTTTCTGCCATGGCCCAGAATAAGGTCCTTGTTGACCGTCGCATCACCGTCCCCTCACCGTCTCTGCCATTATCGCCGTTATGGCCTTTTCTTTTAGACGCCTTTGCCAGGTTCGTGTGTGATCTAGGAGACCTACTTAGGATCCTCAATTGCCATGGCTTGCGGATTCTTGGCCCTGTTCATTGCCCCTGGCTAACAACTCGCAGATCCAACGCTCTCCAACTGCAGCTAGCGAATCACTCGGACTCGCCGCATTGCTCGTGATCCTGACCCTGTCCTCGGCCATAACATCACCAATGATGAGGTCGTCTCGCACGTCCATGAGGCGAGACACGAACCGGGCCTAATCTGCTGCTCGGCACGGCAATGAGCCTTTTCGGAGACGATGCCACCTTGCACTAACGGATCTCAAAGATGCCAGGGTGTCTTTTGAGAGTAGGCGCGAGTGCCATGGCTTTCGGCATGTCCGGCGATACCGCCTTCATGCTCCAGTCACAACCATGGAATATTGGAGGCCTCATCTCGCCCCCACTCACCCGATGGGCGCCCTCGATCATACTCAGCTCCCCCTCCTGGGCCTTTGGATATCGCTACACCCCTAGTGAGATTGGCGTCCCAAATTGCGAATACAGCCGAACCACCGCCGAGCATGACCGTGCCGACGTGTATCTGGCCATTGCGATCTAACAACCTCGCAATCAGCCCGCTAGGCTGACTCGCCTATATTGATATTGGCCTCAGCTCCGCTGGACGCCCGTCACGTCCAAGCCAACGAAGATCTTCATGCCGAGCCGGTCTCGGCCTGGTTCGATACGAGTTCGGGAGAGACTTTTGAGGGCGCAGGCTTGCTGGTTGCCTTGGGACTGTCTCATGGGGCAGAAGCAATGCCCATGATTGGCGAGAGAACGAGCAGGCAAGGGGCTGATCTCTTGCCCTTGCCAGAACTGCCACGCTGGAGGCCTCAACTACGACGCAAGGCGGCACACGGCTTTGCCGATGATCGAACGGAGACTCATGAAACCCGAGACGCGATTCAGCCGCCGTGGTGGGTCGTTGATCATCACGCGGCGGCAGTCAGGGCTTTGCCTAGAGTTCGCATGGAAATCCCTCAAGCAGGAACGCGAGACGTTCTCTCGGGGGCCGACCGCCGGTATTACGACAACTCCGAGGCCCAGAGTCACGAGCCACGTCAGCAAGCTAGGGACAGGACTGAGCCGTATGACTCTTCAGGAGCAGCGGTGAGATTTGTGACGGCACGCCCGTGGCGCTAAGGACTGACGAGACGACCAAGCAGTTTCGACCGAGCTTCCCGTTGGGGGGGCACGAGTGGAAGACTGCTTGGTAAGCCTTATCCGCCTAGGCCATCATCGGCGAAATCAGGGGTTCACGGCAGGATGCTCCCAACATCCAATTGCTACGGGATTTGACATCCTTGCTAATCTTGAGCGTTCCAAGTGACACGAGATGCGTCGTCATCGATTGGGTAGCACGCTCTTTCAGGAAAGAGCTCAGTTTTGGCGAGGAACGAGGCAATGTCACTAAGCATTTCCGAAAGAGGGTATTTCCCCAAGCGGAAGGAGTCAGCTCTGCTCACGTCCCAAGTTCAAACTATAAGACTCGCCTTGGCCTCTCTTCTAAAAGGGGCATCTCCCGCAAGATCACTCATGTTGGATTCTGCTTATGCACACCCCATTCAACCGTCGTTTCTGCCATTTTATTCTTCGTTGCAACAATGAGTCGACCGTTCCAGAACTACGACCCTTTCACCAAGAGCTTCAAGCCATCTCTATCCAAAGAACCCCATAGCCGAATATCCGGGGGCAAGAGACCTGGCGGAGTAAGATCGAAGTTTGTGTTGCACCCCAGCCCAGAATCGAGTGAGCTGAGTGTCGACTTCTCCGACGACGAGTTTCGACCATCGGAACAGCTTTCGGTCACTACCGGTGTAATCGACCTCACAAGAACCGATATTGTGTCGCCGCCAGAACAGTACGGGAGCCCGGTGAACCAGAACTCCACAGGAGATGGAAGCTGTCAAGGTTGATAAATTCTGGAGCAGTCCTGTTGAATGCTTATGCTGATTTGGCACAGAGAAACAGAATGACACCCATGTAGCCGACGACAGACTTACCGACTTAGCCCCCCCATCTAGCATCAATGCATTGAAACAACATAACAAGCCCGGCCCGAGTGACGCACAAATATCAAGCCTTGCAGTTTCGGGGACCGAGGATTGCCTTCCTACCAACTGTACTCGCCATAGAGCGACACCACTGGCGAAGTTGAAAGAGACAAGTCTTCACCAAAGCAACGGAGGCCAGTCGGTGGCTTTCATTGACCCTTCTGCTCATGATGCTGGGCATATCGGTTCCCAGTCTCTGCCGACAAACACTGGTAAGTCTGACGCTTCGCAGGCACGTTCAACCCACTGATTCACACAGCCGAAAGCAATATCGCAATTATAGAAAACGACGCCGGGCAGGCTAATACGGCAGTGAGAGACCGTGACGTCACTGGACTAGCTCCAGTTCACAATGAGAATGATGTTGGGGAATCTCCGGTCAAGAGTGATAATGATCAACTCATGGTTGACATGGACAACAATGCGAACGGTCAAATGGGCCAGTCCATTCGAAGCACTTCCACCGGATCGGAACAGGGCCGACCTATTGACGTGGTCGCCGATGGAGAGTGGGAGATCACTGAGCTGATCGGGAAAGAAATTATCCAGGGCAAGGTACACTACTTGGTTCGTTGGCAGGCAACTCTTGTGCCAGAGGACGAGATCAATGCCCCCGAACTAATAAGCAGGTTTGAGGCGAAGTTCAGGGTGAAGGCAAGTCTACATACGGGGTCCTCCAGGGTTGCAAAGCAGACTCGCCCACCGAAGATGAGGAAGATCGACGACGAGGCGAAAGTACGTCGTCGTCGGGGACGGCCTCGTAAAGGTTCGACGTGACCGGGGGGTTCGGCAGATTGGTATTCGGCAACAGGGAGGAGTAATCGCGTTCCCGACCACTTCATCGTGCCATACCAATGATTCTCCATTTCATTATACTCGCGACTCTGATCTATTCATCGAACGTGAACAATTCCTCCGGGAGAGCTTGAGCCTCCGCGCCTTCACGCTTACACTCACAGACGCTCCGTGATTTCGCCAATCCCGTGGTTACCATCAGTGTATTGCTAAGGCTGAGAATGACGGGAGCGAGGGATCGTGTACGGAAGCTCAGTGACCAGCTAAGTAAATTCGTCGGAGAGCAAATTGCTGGTAGAGGCCCCCGGGGGGGAGGGAGACCAACGCCCCTATTTTGATAAGCAGATTCAGAGCCGAGTTCGGGGCAAAGATGGATTTATCGGCGGGGTCCTGGCAGAATTGCGAAGCTTACTCGCCCGACGAAGATAAGGAAGGTGGTAAAGAGAGGACCACACATGTCGGCACGTCGGAAACGGCCCTACAAGGACGCTTCGCAATCAGCCAGATTGGTGGCATGGCGGCGGTGGGGTGACTCTGTCTGGTCGACCAATTAGAGAGTTCCAGGCGCGCTAGTCCTGAGGTGGAAACCCCACTCCGACAGTGCCAGACTGACTAAGATACATGGACACTTAAGATCAGTGGGTGCACCGAAATGTTAGCAGTTCTCACAGAATCACGTCAAGGGGGCCATCCCCATCACCCAGCTTCACCATCGTCTGAAGAGATTGACGCGCCGACCAGGCAGATGGGGGCGGTAAGAGGGTGGGTGCTTTCAATTATTGCTAGGTGGTAGCCACAAGACGAGGCATGCCCGGCGGCTACCCTGTTCCCCCCACCTCTCAAGGAGGCGGGTGTTGCATCTCAGTTCTCTCTCTTCCAATGATACCGGCCACCCCGCGACATTTCAGAAATCTGCTTCGAAGGGAACCAACAGGCTACCAAGGCGCTTGCAACTTCCATGGAAGACTTGATTCATTATGCCTCGCCTGGCCTCCATTCTGCCTGCTGTTTCTTTTCCTTTCAATCAATCTCTTGCGCTCCAGGCTACCCTCGTCTTCACGTCGACTTAAGCACATCATGACATCCTCAGGTTTGGGCTTTGCCTTGTCAGGCGACACCAATCCTTTCACGAGCAGCGAGCTCCAATTAAGATGCAACACGGCCGCTGCTGTAGCTGGCCCTCCTTCTCAAGCTGCTTCGGGGGATACCGACCCGTTTTCGTCTGGCGACCATCGGCTCAGAGCCGATGACGCTTCAGCCTCTGACTCTCGCAAAGTCACCTCCGAGCCTTGTCAAGCGACTGTCAGGATCATTCTGGAGCAGGCATCGACGGCACTCGGTTCGATCTCCTTCGACTACTCACCGGTTGACGGGACTGGCAGTGCCCGCCGGCACCGGGTGGTCCTTGGCGCTTCTTCGAATATGAATGGAGGGCCTTCAGTCAACAAATTCGCCATTGCACAATCGAGCAAGTGTGTGGGATTTACCATACAATCGACCAATTCTCCGGGACCTCATGGCGTTGATCTTCACTTTCGCCTGTTCTTCGATCCAGGCACGGATCGCATGGTCATCTTCAACTTGGCCACCAAGCAAATGACAGCGAGGAGTATTTGCGACATAGCCAGCAACAAGAAAATCGAGTTGGAACCCTACTCACCCACCATGTTGGACGCTGGGTCATGGGCGATCTTCACTCCCTCTGGGCGGCACGCTCTAGACTTTTCAATCCTTCCACGTAGGCATGTAGCGTCCCCTTGCCGACAAACGTGTAGCCGTACGGCGAAAGCTCCAGCTTGAAGAGCACGCCTATTGCTCCCATCTTGCCCCAACCGTTCAAAGCCCTGCAGTCTCGGTACGGGTTCTGTCGTAACCGCTCGCCCACTAGGCGGGCGAACTCGTCGGCGTCGATGGGGTGCCGGGTGCCGCCTTCGGCGGTACGATGCGAGAGCACGTTAGGGCAGTTGCCGTCGAGATCCCAGCTTCTCTTGTGGCCCAGCAGGCAGGCTTGCGTGCAGTATTGCCTGGCGGGTACCGAATCGGACATCTCGGCATCATCGTCCTCGGAGCTGCCGCTCGACGGACCTTCCTTCCGCTTGCTGGCGTCCGTCCCTGTCCGAGACCGGGATATGCCGCCATCCGGCCCGTCCTCTTCTTCGTCCTCTCCGTCCCGGCGAAGCACTGCCGCTGCCCGGCAGGACGACTTGGAACGCAAGGAGATGTCTCGACCGGTCGGGCCCGCGTTGGACATAAACTCCGAGCCTTCTGTTGCTTGCGACGACGACGCGGAAGATGAATTCATATCCTCTGCCTCTAGAAGACGCGCCGCATCCTCGTACGGATCCCTCCACTTTCTCAGGGTTCCCTCGGCCTTCTGCAACGCCACGTCGAGTGAAGCTCCCTGAAGAGCTTCGGATCGGAGACTCAACAGGCAGAAGCTGGCCAGTTGAGCCACTGCGGTGTGGGACACCTTGTCGGCCCAATCCTTAGTCGACGCCTCGCCTACGTCTTCATCGGGCATGCACGGATGACAATACAGCGTCAGCGGGTCAGCTCGGTCGACATGGAGGAACAACAAAGACTCGCCGGCAGCAACGTAGCCATATGCAACCCCGTACCTGACCATGTAGTCGAAGACCTGTGTCAGCGCCATGGCAATCAGTGCTTCCGTCTTGTCTTGTCCCCGCAGCTCGGCATCGCCCCGAGTCTTGTCGCAATTGATCCGCTCAATGACCTCCATGAACAGCTTCACCTTCGCGATGGCCGGCTTGAGGTACTCGACCGCAACCTTGTGGGCTGCCTTGTAGTCGTAGACAAAACACAGCCTCTCCTCTCCGCTTAAGCGCGTAAGGACCCCCCCGTCAGGTTTCGTCGGTGGAGGCTTGACTCGGTGTTCGGACGCGACCCGTTTGTTCGGCCCCGTCGCCGTTCCTGGCTTTCCTAGCCCGGGTCCTCCGCTCCAGCCTGCCTATCATCGCTCGGTTGCGTGAAATCGCGGATGTTGTTGCTGAATCGTAGCCCCATAAACCGGAATTCTCTGCGTAGTTCCTCTTCGTCCCATACAGCACTGAGAATTTACCACCTCGCCGTTGCTGAGGTTACCAATAATTATTCCGCACCCGATGACACGAGCATTTTGTTTCGTACCCGAAGCAGCCGAATCTGACGAATTGACCCCCAGCGACCGAGAAGCTGTTCATGGAGGTCATTGAGCGGATCCAAGACTGTCAGTTCCATTCCATCCGTAACTCCATCGACCAGGCCGAGCAGAAGCTTAGGGAGTTTAAGATGCCAAGACCCAGTTCCCAAGACGTACGTCAAGATGATGGCTGGCTGGCAGCGGTTGGGAGACGATGGTTTCGACAGGGTCGAAGATTTAGGCTATTTGGCAACCTCTGAAGCTTCCTTCCTAGGCACACTACACATACATGCGTACCATTTACAAACTACCCGGTGCGTCTTCAGCTTTGGCTATCGCCCTGGAAAATGAAACCTCCGCCGCGTCCTGACTCGTCGACGAGTTCAGCACGCAAATTCTCCAGTTCCTTGCTCATCGACTTGGGGCTAGCGTTCTCCCGAAAGCGTTCAAAGTCGAGTAGTTTCGCCCCTTCTTCCGTGACGAGAAAGTTGTATCGGTTCACGTCCCCATGTACAAGTCCCCGTTCGTGGAATTTCCCTAGAGCGGTTTCGCAAACGCTCAGATCCTGAAAGGAGGCAGGACGTCCCTCTAACTTCTCCAATAGAAAACCCATGATGCGTCCGTTCTCATGGACATGGGCGAGGAAGCGCGGGGCCAGCCCAGAGCCCTCAAGCAACTGATACGCTCTCGTTTCTTGTTCGATGCGAGGCAGCTCCCATTCGAAACGGGCTATTTTGGCGATCATGGTGGCTGGTGATGGGAGACTGATTGGGAGCATCGAATGTGGGACGGCTTCGAAGGCCATTACCGTGAGCTGTTTGGTCTTCTCCAACTCTAGGCAATCAACCAAGGCATGATGCCATTGACACTTGACGCCAGGTAGTGTTCGGTTCAAGATGGAAGTTTTCAAGTCGCCGCTGGCTCCATCTCGTGAGATGTTGGCCACGGTCCATTCCTCGTTGTAAGGAAGACTGGGAAGGGACTGAAGGGGGAATGAAAGCGTGTCTCTGTCAAAGGTTCCCGGAGAGATGATGAGATATTTGACCTGGTTTCCGATTCGCAGTCGGTATTCGCTTTCAAAAGAATCGTCATCGTCCACTTCCATGGACAGAATGGTCGGCTCCATTGGTGGGATTCTAGCGTTTTCGCCAGACATTGGACCACTCACTTCCCGCTTTTTTTCTGCTGAGAGGGGTGGTGTTCGATTTTAAGGGCAACTCCCCAGCTGCGGCAAAGACCCGAGATCGCAGGGACAGCTGGTTTTTGAGGTGAACGACCCTTGTCAAGGAGGGATTGGGGGAGTGTCGGACTGATACCCAACGCAAAACTAATCAGACCTCCCTGGCAACCAAGTTGGCCCAGGAACAGCCAGCCAGCCAACCACCTATTTATAGTTCTGGCCAGCGCCTACACAGCGGCCAGGGTGAAGGCGATTTGACCACGTACAGCCAGCCAGTTGAAGCGATTTGCTTGCCGCCCACAGGGAGGTTCACCGGTCTCGTGGGATCCCCTGACCCGCTATTTGACAACCCCGTAGTACCTCCTCAGGGGCCCTGGGTACTTTAGCCGTTCGAAGCGTGCCTCTCAAACGGAAGGTCCTGCCCAGATCGTTTGTCGATGCAGCGTTGGCGCAGCGGTGACTCGAAACAACATCAATTTCTGAAGCCTGCTTTCGGCAAACCATTGGTTCAGCTGCCTTTGCTCTCTAAATTAGGAGGAGATGGACGCATAGTGAAGGCCATGGCAGGCGCTTAAACCGCCTGCATTGCCGAGCTTGGCCTAGTCTCCTCCACTGGCTGGGAAGCCAGACACCAGCCAACATCGAAGGACAGGAGTCAAGGCAGCCCGTGGCTCGACGGCTATAAATTGTGCCTCCTCAGAACACCACCTACACAGTGATAGCCTCAGATTCAAACAATCAATCTCACCCTTCATCTCGTCAGCAACAATCAAGCGTTCAGAACCGGGCACACACCAAACCACCTAAGATCTCGATAGCGCACGTGCAACCTTGCTTTTTGGGTCAGTCATCATCAGCCAACGTGTACAAGTCATTCGACCATCCAACATCGTAAGCAGGCAGCTATCCCCCGTATCTGAGCTCGGTCTAATTCGTCATATCCTGTTAGCAAGAAATGTGTACGTCAAAGTATATCAAATACACATGCGGCTGTAAGAAGGAGATGGAGTTCATCCAGTGCCCGGAGCGCCAGGGATCCAACGTTAAATGCCATCCAGTTAACAAGACCTGGGGCAAAGATTCGACCCACTACTGTTCAAGGCACATGGTCAAGCCAGACGCACCAGTGAAATACACGGACCAAAATGGAGAGGAGGTTGTGGAATAGTGAAGCATGGTTTATGAACTTTGGGGCTGCATTGAAACGATGAATTGGGGGGGAAGTTTGGGAATTTGACCGCTTTCTGGGTGCTTTCTACCTGGGCACTTTGTAGACAGCCTAGCCGCAATACATTGGCGAACTGTTCCCACTTCCTTGTCATTCTCTCTTGTTGAAGTAGCCTCCTCTGCGAGCAGCCTCCGGTAGCTCGGTTGGCCGGTTGTTACCTTCGCCACTCGATCTCCAGAGGAGCTGTGCCTGTTCACACCATCGAAAATGTTCCAAAAAGCCATCTTGCGCATATACCTTGTCGCGAGCCTCGAACGCCCATTTCTCGCCTCTGGAGCCGATGATGTCCTTTTCGAGTGCGAGTTGACATCCGGCACACGACAGTCCGTGTTCGACTTTGCCGGTTCGTCCATCATAATAAGGAAGTGCGCACGACCCCATAAAGTTGAATTTTTGATTTCTTCCTGAGTTCACTGGCAGTGCCTGCGCTGGTTCATGTGGTTGCTGGCCGGAAACCAACATGGCATGATGAACAGCAACGATCGTAATACGGGATTTGTGTACGGATTCCTTCATCGAATATATTCCAGGCAAAGTCTTGAATGACCCCAGTTGGTCCAATTCGGCCTTCGCCAAGTGGAATCGCTTCCGGACAGCGGCAAGAGTTTGCACTTGGGTTTCCGGAGCGTCTTGGAGGCACTCAAAACAGCATCGATTCCAGGTTAAGAGGGACATAAACCCGCCGAATTCGCCGCAAAAAGTACAAGCCTTGGTGCATAGTACGTCGTAAAAGTCGATTAGAGAAACGCCGTTAGCGAGTCGTGTTCGTAATAACGCGCAGAGAAGGTTCAGTCCATGCGATACTACCATCCGATATTGCTTTAGAGAGTCTGCCGTCTGTCTCGACCTGAGATTTGTTTGTCGAAAGTTGAGTAGAGTATACATGTCCAGACGTAACAACACATCGTGCAAGAGCTCGAGGGGTAGCCGATCGAGGGAGCCGAGTCCCGTATAAGAAGTCCGTCGGAAAGGGGCGCCTATCGATAGACAAATACCGACGTGTTCGCGAGGCGAGAACCATATCACAGAGCGACAGTAATCTTTGCGATGGTAGGCGGAGGCTCGAACAATGGCATCGATCTGCTCGTCGCAGAAACGGTATTCGGTGGCGGAGCGATATCCGCGAGGCATAATATCAGCCATTTTCGACGTTTGTCGGTACGCTTGAGTGAAAGGCGCACGGGCATGAGATGTCGCTGGTGACTGATGACCTCGATAACGGGGCGCTCGGTCGCGTTTGTGCAGCCTGCCATGGGATGTCTGCACGTATTCGTCGAATTCGGTCAGTAATGACAGTGGCTCCTCAGAGCTTGGATATCGAATGCCACGCTCTCGATGGACGGCGGTGCGTTTGGCTTGTTGCTGGAGTAGTTATCAATGCACCTTTATTTTCCCCTGGACAAAACTGGCTCATTTCGGGGTGCGGGCTTTCCCTTTCTCCGGTCAGCTACGGTTCACGTGAGCAGACAGACCATTGGTCACGGTACGGGCCAGTGTGGCTCGTGCCTACGGCAGCGGAGCACGCTAATCACGTGCACTGAACTCCTCGAGCAAATGGCCTGAGGATCCTGTCCAGATTTTTGGGCGGGTGTGGAACTTCTTTCCCCGAAATAGACTCTATCTTAAAACTCATTTTCAACCGCAACCACAGGGCGTCCAGTAAATTGAAGAATGTCATTCGATTCGTCTGCTTTTATTCCATATTTGATTGAATTTTAGGCCATATGAGCTCAAGGCCTGCGTTGTAAGAGTACGCGGTTTAACCAGGCTGTCTCTTCATCCCACCGAACTCGTCCAGATTGTAAGTACACAGCTACTAACGTAGATGCATAGCGAGTGAAACACCCAAGCGAGTGGGCCACGTTACCAAAATTGCGATGATGCGTCTGCGACCTCACGATTGAAATTTGTTAAGAGACGCTAACAATTTACTACCGAAATTACGCGGTCGTGCCCGCGCAATTCTGGTCGAGGCCCCGACACATCAGTGTTTTCACAGGCCACAGATGAAGTAGGAGGAAAAGCTTAGTTTCTACGTAGAATGTACCTTGATGTACAATTGATTGAATTTTAAGATACTTCTGGCGTGGTTTGGTGTAGTTATTGATGGATACGTAAGAACGTGGCCTACAGAATCGCGAAAATAAGGTACAAAGTTTCCGCAGAGCAGTGGGCGCATTGGACAGGGCACTCAGGCCATTTGCTGAGGTAAAGCCCGTGCGAAGCCTTTCCACGTGATTTCTCGGAAAGACGTGCATCACGCCGTTGCTCAAACATGCCACCAACATCAGATGCACTGGGAACGGATGCACTGGGAACGGATGCACTGGGAACGGATCACTCCGCGCACCGTCTTCCAGCAACCTTGATCGTGATGGACCCGCGCGCCACGTGCGATGCTCTCCGGGTTGTGTCTCTGGGTAAGCCATTTCGCGAAGCTGGGCTGCGAACGGACTGACATCCGCAGATGGCGGGGGCATCCGGGGCCTGTCGAGCCTGCTCATCCTCGAGCACCTCATGGAGCGCGTCCACGAGGCCGAGGGGCTGGCCGAGGTGCCGCGCCCATGCGACCGCTTCGATATGATCGGCGGCACGAGCACCGGCGGGTAGGTGGTTTCAACTCGCCGGACTCCTCCATGCTGACAACCGTAGGATCATCGCCATAATGCTGGGCCGGCTGCGCATGACGGTTGACGAGTGCATCCACGCGTATCGAAAGATGGCCGAGCGGGCCTTCACCCCGAAACGAAAGACTTTCCTGCCTGCCTCGCCGAGCGGCCCATTCTCGGCCTAGGCGCTCGAGGCGCTCGAGGTAGCTGGCTTTGTTTCCACGCTAACGGCTCTCTAGGAGGGGAACACCGGAACTATCCACCTCGAAGATGATGATCCTCTGGCCGTGAAGCTGATGATACACTACCTTTACCACCTTGACTATCCTCATCAGGACGATATATCCCATCCATTCCTCGCCGACACTAAAGCGACGCGCTTCACGTTCTCCGTCCCTGAACCTCCGAACTCAGCACCTCTCGAGGATTCGGACGAGAAGACCCAGAAAGCTGGTATCGCGGCCCTGAATCAATCAGGGTGTAGAACTTGACGATACATGCAAAGGTGTATGCGCTTGCTGAGAAATATGACCTCCAAGCCCTGAAGAGTTCGGCCCTTCACAAGTTTAAGACAGAGGCGGGCCACTGGTGGATGTCCGCCGACTTTCTGCGCGCGACGGAAGAGGTCTACACCTCAACGGTGCCTCACGATCGATCAATGAGGGACATAGTCGTCGAAACATTCACGCGACATCCAGGTCTATTGGATGAGGAGGCAGCTCAGAACACAGTCCGAAGCCTTGACCTCTGCTATGATTTGATGATGCGGTTCCGGTCACGTTCCATACCAGCTAGTTCCACTTTGGGGTCGAATAGACGTTGGTGATAGAGGTCATTGTAAGAGGACTGAGCGAACACCTAGTTGGTTATCTAGATTAATGAGCTATCTGTGCCACGCACTTCCAACGCTCTACAGCTTGGTTGGCCGTCCAACATCCTGAACATCCGCCCTCGCCCTGCATGCTTTCAATCCAGACCATGCATCCGTTGCTCGGTTGGTCACGCGGCGCCTCGCTTTCAGGGGATGATAAAGCGAAGTTCTCTTGAACTCGGTCTCCTTCTGGGGTGATTACTTTTCCGAAGACATTGGCTGCTGAAGGAAATGAACGGAAGCACGAATGTGAGGTACCTCGTCGCCCAGGTGTAAGCAGTTCCATCCACGCCAAGAATACCCTGTGGGGTCTCGTATCCAAATCAATAGATCCCTATATGACATTGCCCGCTTCGTTTTTAGATACTGCACACGATGCCTGAACAGCGCTTTGTCCAGGACCGGCACATTTCTCGTGAAACGATATTTTGTGCCGGCCAGTGCCAGATGAACGAGCCCACACCATCCCCATGTGCTGACCATCCGGTACATCCCAGGGCGTTGGATCAGCTGAGAATCAACCAGGAGGCCCTCATGTGAAAGTGACGCCGCCCGCCTTCGACGTTGGCATGGCGTGTAACCTGAATGTGGAGTCATGAGGATATCGTGAGATCATCCGTGAAAGAGCTTGAGATGCCATTTGAGTCGAGAATGGGACACTAGGCTGGAGAAAGCAAGAAGAAGAGTCGAGACCAGGTTGAAAGCGATATTTGATGATGCTCGCCCAACCAGAGCAACCGCTGGGTACAGCGGGCGTCGGACGTAAGCTTCCTGGGCCGAAGCGGAAAGCTGGCACCGGCCATAGTCGTCCATGGTCACTTTCGGCCGTTTGCCAGTGTGTCCAGTCGTAGAATGCTTCGGGGAAGCCCAACATCCATAAAGCAGGCTTCAGGTGACACCGAGCGCCCATTTGCAGGAAGCCGCCAGGTACATTTCAGGCCGATTAGAATTGAAGGATAATGATTCACTAAACACAGACCACATGCTTCAAGGGACTGCTGCAGAGGGTTTGCTCAAGAAAGGCATATTCGTAGTACATCCCCCGCGGCCCTGCCACCTCCTTCGCCCGTCTAAACGCCGTCTCCAAGTCCCCCTCTCATACTATCAATCCCGCGCAGTGCATCCATCCTCAGCCAGTTTTGGCTCCGTTGGCTGCTCTTCCGCTGATTCGAGCGGCTTCCCTGGCGACGCCGGCGGGGTTTTCAAGTTAGAGCTCGATGGCGGACTTAGGGACACATCGGCAGCGATCCCAGAGGGAGGTTGTTTCACGAATGTTGCTGGAGTCCATTGAGTGGTCAAGGGGTAGATGATTTCTAGGTCAACCCTTGTCCTCGGCCAGCGAGGCTGGTCGTGGGATGTGTACTCGTAGTGCCGCCCCTTCCAGCACACCTGCACGTAGACGCGAGCGCCATACTTCTTGCTTATCTTGTTAAATCACTCGGCGCCTCCCTTGCATGATTTTTCGAAGTTCTCCTTGGTTCGGTCACGTTTCTTGGGGGATAGATTAGCCATGGTGATGAGCAGTGGTTGGGGAAATGGCTGCCGAAGGAAATGTTGGTGGATGCCACGCATTTAAGGGCGTCTGTTGACCCAAAACTGGGCCCTGGTAGGTTCGGTCAGCTGTAAAAATAGCACCGGCAATTCTGGCCGGCCCTGAACACCATTTTGGAGCCTTGCACTGGACCGACTCAACCGCTCCGGGTCGACCCCAGAAATGCGCATCATCGCTCAAGGGGCTCTTGAACGGAGGCAGCAACGCTCCACGGCATTGAAATGAGATTGGGATCTTAGCAGTCACTTCCATCGCATCAAGTATTTGTCAATTAGCTACGGCATCGAGGTCTCTCCGGGCCTCACGAAGGACCTCCTGCATGGTTCTGGCGCTGCGCCTCCTTGTTCTGTTGTTGGCTTTCGAGGAGCAGCCGCTGCAGCTCTTGAACAACCGCTTCGCTCTGCTGTTGGCTTCCCTGGTGTTGGTGTTGCAGCTCTTGGATTGTCGCTTGCTGTTCCTTGCTCTCCCGCTTCAACTCCGCCACCTGCTCCATCAACCTCTGCATCATTTCCAACAACGCGTCTCCGTACGTGCTACTCTTTCTGCCCGTGTCCAATCCATCCTCTCCTCCAGCTGGGGCTGTCCGCTTCGCATTCTTGGTCGGTTTCTTGGTCGATGCGACGCTTTCGCCGTCCGCTTGTTGGTTATCTTGCGCTTTGGCGCTTGGGGTCGGGTTGCGAGTCGATCGTCTCCGGGAGTGTTCGTGGTCGGTGGTCTCGGCCACGATCACTCCACCGCGTCAGACATGTCCCACCCACCGCGACAAAACGCGTCGCCCACTTTCTCCCTTCTTCAGACACCCCAATGATACAACGATTGATACAACGATTTTCTATGCCCGGTAAGCGGGGCTTGGCTGACCGCCGAAGCGCCCGAATGTTAATCCGGGGTGCCCCACTTCGCCCAGCTGTCCCCAAAATTCCCACTTCTGTTCTTCAACCTCTTTCTATCCGTGGCCGCCACCTCGTGTAGATCGCGGTTCCTACTAATCCATGCTGCGTTTTAGGCTCCTTCAGGGCGCGATACCCCCCTATGCTGGTTCTGTATACCTACAGTCTCCCCCCAGTGCTCAGCTTTGTCTCGCTTGGGGCTCGATCCTGAATTGCCCAAGGATCTCGGTTGTTCCATGAATCTGATGCTGTGCGCTTGTTTAGCAATGCCCGGAGGTCGTTTCGTCCTGGAATGGATCCTAGTTCCCGGCGTCGGAGGTGTCGGAATCGGCGGCATCGCAGCAGGACGTGCGATACCGTTTGTCGTCCTTCTCGGCAGGGGCAGATGTCGCCCATGATGTCCGGGACTCTTCGGCTGAAGAGGAACTTCCTGAGTCCGATTTTCTCGGTGCGCATCTGCACCAGGATGGCGCTCTGTCGATTGATCAGTCTGTCGTGGAGCTGAAGGATCTTGGTTGGCTTCGGCGTGTATCGGAACGAGGTTCTGCCTCTCGTTTCTGATGTCCATTTTCTTTGCCATGCTTTGCTGGCTTCCTTGTGCGTCCACGTCTTGAGCGTCGATAGGAGGGAGTAGAGTTCCCTTGGCTGCTCTGCCGTTGGGCCTGTTTGCCCGTCTTCGCGCCAGCCAGTGGCTTCCTTTGCTGCTCTGTCGGCGTCTTCGTTGCCCTGGATCCTGTGTGTGCTGGAATCCACCGGATTTCCGTCAGGAGTCCTTGGTTGTTGAGTTCCTGTGTCCTCTGGGCTATGTCCTTGAGCAGGTATGCTCCTGATTTGCCTTTTGGTTTGGCCGATGATCGGATCGCTGCTTTGTTGTCGGTGTAGATGAGGAGCTTCCTTCGATGTTGCCTTTTGCTCTGTCCGCCTTGGCCATCCGAAGGGCCAGTATGATGCCTTGGAGCTCCCCGGCGTAGACCGTCGATGTCGTGTCTGCCCCCATGTCTGCACTCGTAGTCTCACTGGTCGTCGTGCAGACTGCTGCTGCCCCGATGCGGCCGTTGATTCCGCTCCCGTCTGTGTAGGATCGCGTTGGGTTCATTTTGCTGCTTCCTCTGGTGTTCCTTCTGGGCTTTCTCCGTGTTCTCTTCTATGTAAGCCCGCGGCCCCTGCCACCAAGGCGGAACGACAAAGGGCTCGACCCTTTCTTGCTGTCTGCCATCGGGGCAGGGTCTTTGCTGTAATTTCTGTTTGATAGTTTCCCTGGGGCTCATTCTCTTCCTCGGTGCGGTGTTTGACTCTTGGCGATCGACCGCGGAACCCATTCTCCCAATCGTGACCAGGCTGTGTCTCCAAATTTGCTGTTCGACGGGAAGGAGGTGCATTTCGACGTCCAGTGCTGGGAATGACGTCGCCTTGAAGGCGCCGCTCATCACCCTTGCGGCCCTGGCTTGCAGTCTCTCTAGTCGTTGCAGTGTTCTCTTGGTGTATGCTTTTCTGCCCCAGCCGGCGTTCGACCATGCTGGGCAGGCGTACATCATCTGTGGCACCGCCACTCCTCTGTATATTTTTCTCATATCTTTTGTTCCCAATCCCAAGCGGAGTTTCCCAGGCTGCTCAGTGCGGTGATGGTTGTGGAGACTTTGCGTTCTGTTTCGTCGATGTGTGGCTTCCATGTAAGACTGGAGTCCATGATGAGACCGAGGTATTTGCATGCTGATTTAGGTGTCGAAAAGGAGAGGGTGCCTGTAATCTCCTACTCGCGCATGGGTTTCTGGATGTGTTCTGGAGGTTGTCTGGTCTACGTCAAGGTCAAGATCGCCCGTTTCGGAGAGTTTCCGCAGAACCACCGTCAGGCCCGAGAGCTCTGTCAGCAGCTCACGAACCTGCCGAGGGAGGGTGTGGAAGCTCTGAATTTCATTGACGAGTTTGCTGCTGGGCTTGAGGGCGAAGACCGTCAGGGCTAAAATACCCGAGGCCATTCCAACCGGCTCGGCCATGGTGGTTGTTTGGGATGAAAATGATGCATATCTGGGAATGGGTTGGGCAATGCGGAGGTCAGCACATAATTATGTACCGCCGCGACGTAATCGCTGGGGGGCGGGGGGGAGCATCAGTACCCACGGGTCTCTGAGCCCTTTCCATTCGTCACAAGTCCTCATGTCATGGCAGTCCTGGATACCTGGCGACAGTGGGTGCCAACTGGTTCAAGGACCAAGTAGCCACTCTGGGGTTAGTGTGTCGCGCCACTTCGCTGGAGCGAATAGGCAGACCCAGAAAGTAGAGCCCTGCTGTCGGGCGCATTGGCAGCAGAGCCCTCTGGTGAACCACGTTGGGCCCCGAATAGAGCCTGCGGCGGCATTCTGAATGCGACCAGATTGCTGCCGGCGAGCCTTGTTAGATTCTCTTAATGGCGCAGCTGGGAGTTCGAGATTTTGCGCTTCTAATTCGTCTCCTTTATCCTTTTCTCCTGATATATGCGCCTGTTGGCCTGCCTCTTCCCCGTGGTAAAATGGTGCCGGGGTGTCCGGGGGATGAATGTGATGGCGGCAAAGGGATGTCAGGAGGTTGGCCAGGAAACGGCGACCTGGTTAAATCCCCCGGATTGCTGCGCCTTGCTGCCTTCGCCGAGCCACTTTGGACTGTACTCAGCCTTGTTGCTGCAAGAGGGACTTTAATACCGCCTCCTGTCCTGTCACGCTCATTGTCTCCCGATCATTCGCTCAGCTTCTCATCCACACCCAGACGACCGCGAGTGGAGAGGCTCCAATCATGGGCACATTCTGCAGTCGCGATAAAGATTCGCAACGCAAGCCACCCGGCTTCTCCTATCCCTCTCTCCCGCCCACCGATAGCCTGCGCGTGCTCACTTTGCACCCGGCAGGGGAGTTCTGGCTGCCGCTGAGAGGGTCCCTGGCTCCGGTACCCTTCTCATCGAGGCCGAAGTATATCGCGCTATCATACACATGGGGTGATCCGGATGAGGACCATGCGAAGCTTCCGGTTGCCCCGGGCGGTCATTCGGGGCACGGCTCCATCTTGATCAATCAACAAAGCTTAGCGATTGATCACAACGTATCTCTAGCACTACGCTTCCTCCGATCCCCCAAACATCCCTTGCCTCTCTGGATAGATGCCATCTGCATCGACCAGTCTTCCATCGGAGAACTCAACCAGCAAGTTGCCCTAATGGCCTTCATCTACACTCGTGCCACCGCCGTCATCTCTTGGCTTGGGGCACCCCCGCAGGTGTCTGGCACGGCGGGGAAGAGTTTCATTGAACTCGGCGAGTTCTGGAACGCCGGCGACGGGAGGTGCATCGCCTCACAGTTTGCTTCAGCCATTCGACATCCTCCGGCGGGTGCCCCAGCAAAACCCTTTACTTGGGCATGGAGGGTCAAAAACAAGGCCGACATGAGGACTATGCAGAGCGCCCGCGTCGCCGCCAATCCGTACTGGCAGCGTATGTGGATTGTTCAAGAAGTCTGCCTACCGCAACACCTGGCCTTCCTTTGTGGCGGCTATCTCTGGACTGAATCCATGATGTGGGACGCCATCAAGGCCAACAAGTCGGTAACATCTCCCTATGACTCGGAAGTATTACTGCAGGTTAGCGGCGAGGCAGCAGCCCCCGCTGCCGTCAGTGAGCAATACCACGCCACTATGGAGCGCCTCCTCTCGGTTAGGAGCACGCGATTCAGTGATGCCACGCGCCTCGAATCACTCATGGAGCACTTTATGGACTATGGATGCCAAAAGAGCCGCGACCGTGTTTTTGGGCTTGCCGGCTTGGCGAACGACATTGAACCATTCGCAGTGGCGAAAGGCGCGGTGTCGCAATCGCCCTCCGCGATGCCTTCAGGGACTCCAAGTGGTACCAGTCGCCTAGAGATTGACTATACGCGATCTTACTACGATATCTGGTGCGACGTAGTAGCACATATGTACTTCCGGGCAACTCCCTTACTTGATTTTGGCGACACACCCAACGAGAAGGAAGACGAGCGCCGAATTCGAGTGGTGCGCTTCGCCGGAGTGGTACAACGGGCGTTAGATGGGCAGGTCGAAGAAGAACGAACCTTGCTTCACGAGGCAGGAATGGCAGCCCAGGTCCCCCGGGAACCCTTAAAGGTCAAGGGATATATTGCGGGAAGAATTCTCTCTCTTGGTCCAAGGTATACCGAAGGTCTCGGCTGTTCCCGTGCGGACCAGCACTGGCTTGCATCGTCGAAAACCTACTATACGAAAGCCGGCGAGCTCGAAACACTTCGTCGAACCGAAGCGTCATACAAGACTAAGATCCTCGCGTATTCCAGCCAGGACCTACGACGCATCTGCATCATTGATAGCGCCAGTGCCATAGCCTGGGGCATCCTCCAGCCACCCCCAGATGAACCGGTTTCGCTGCCGCCCCTGGTTTGTACGATGGCGTCGCGACAAGCTGGAGATTCCGCGGCCGCGAACCGAGAGCCCGTCCGCTTCCTAGGCACATCTCTCCTCACCGGACTTGCCCCGGCGTCAGCGGGGGTTGGGGACATAATTATTCGCTTCTGGAACTGCGACGCTGCCATTGTGGTGAGGCCGACCATGCCGTTGCCAGTAGATCTGGAAACAGACCTTCTTGATGCGCGCCTAACATATTGCCGTATCGTCGGCCGCGCTGATATTGCCGAGACCTATGAGCGTCCTGGCGACGGGACGGATGATATGGCAAAAAGACTTATGGATGTTTTGGAGACGTCCGAAGAAATTGAAGGCATGTCATTTCAGCAGTACAGCAGGGGGGTCTATGTCCGTTTAGATTTTGCGACGCTTCAGAAGATCTCGGCAGCGATTCATATCTGAATCCGGCTCGTTCTCGACATGGACGATCCGGTCCAAGACCTCTGCACACGCTGCCAGTTGCCGCACAGCACGCTTGTGAGGTGACTGAGCTGTGACTTGAACGTCGTGTGCTGGTCCGCCGGCACCCAGGCAGCCACCGCCGCCACAACCTCCTCGACGACGCGTTCGACAGATGCGTCTCGACGCGTTCTCTGCTGGTCGGGGAGCACCTCGAGTAGCACGGCGCGAACAAGCGTATCCTGGAAGGGATTCGCCGCAGGTAGCGCATCCAATACCTCCTCAGCGCCAGTGCCGACGAAGAGGTATTCGTGACTGACCTATGACTACATCGATTGTCAATGGACACGGTCTTCTCCTTGGAAATTGCGTTCCGTCATCTACGACGCTCACCAAGAGGTGCTGCTCAACAACGGCATCGAATTCCTAAATTTCCCCGCCAGGGCCACACCAGACCGACTCATCTGCCTCTTCCACGGACCTACTGGAACGGGGAAGTCGGTCTTCGCAAAATATTTCGCGAAGACTTTGGACTTGAGCATCTACAATGTCATTCCTTCTCTCGGCAATGACGACCTAAAGGCCGCATTGGAGACTATTCCGGGACGTTGCGTTGTTCTGATGGAAGACGCGGACGCTATCGAACCGAATGCTCTGCCCCCATTTCTTGAAGCCATCACCTCTCTGGGGGATGGCCATATTATTATCCTCACAACCCGCCATTTTCAGCAACTCAGCGATGCGCTCAAGGATCCCGGCCTCGTCAACCAGGCAATCGAATTCCAGCTCGCAGACAAGAATCGCATTGCTTTGCTGTTCCGGATCACATTTCCTGATTCCGAAGAGGAGGATCGAGAAGCTTTCACCAATAAGATGCCGGAACTGTACCTCAGCCTCGCAGAAATCCAAGTGCACCTGATCAACAGTCGATCTCCCAAGGCTTCGATTCGAGATGCGGAGCAGTGGTTAGCCAGCGTCAAGGACGAGCGGGAGAGCTTGAGGCGCGGCTCCGGGCATACCTGGGTTTGAGAATGCTCGTGGAGCGAGAGGGGTTTTCGGCGGGACTTAGGCAACAGATTTTTGCTGCCACACCAAATGCGACGCTCACCAGTGAATGCCCTATCGAGTTCCATTGAAATGTGATACATGAGGGCGCTGTCCGCGGTTGCCGCGCACATATCAACAGCATCGGGCCCACTCTCTAGGCCCAAGTTCTATCCCTAAAGGCCTTCAACCTAGGGACTCAGCCTACGTCCACCATGCCAGGATCATCAGCTCATCGGGGACGAATCCAAGCAGGAGATTCTAGTTGAGAACAGCTTGACAGTGCGGTGACGATTCGCAAGCAAGTCAACGGCCACTAAACCAATAGCTTAATCGAGAACAACTTCAATTCAAATGGAAACAAGCTCGGTAGCGACAGAATGACTTCGAAAATCCGCCATGAATGCGATCCTCGCGCATGAATCTCAGTGCGGCCGTGAACCTACCCATAATGCAACCAAGATCCCTCCCTTCTCAGGCCCCTCCTCTCCTCCCTGATCTTATCCACCCATGCTTCCACGCCCGCGACTGCGTCGTCTGGACGCATTCTGTGCTCCAAGAGGAGGGAAAGCACCTCCGCAGGACTGAACTCCGACTCTGGGACCTGATCAGCAAACTCGTCGGCAAGCCGCTCGACAGTCGTGATGTCGTCGGAGCCTTTGAAGACGAGGCGAAAGAGCTGCCCGATGAGATCTCTGTCGGCAAGTCGGAACTTGACCTTGACGTCCACGCGGCCAGGCCGGATCAGTGCGTCGTCAAGGCGCTCGACATAATTCGTAGTCATGATGAGGAGCCGGCCCTCTTGAGACCCCACCCCATCGAGCGCGTTGAGAAGGCCAGAGAGAGTCACTTTCTTTCCCTGTTTCTTCTCCGAGTCGCCGGAAACAGAATCGGAATCCTCGTCTTTGTTTTGTGCCCGGTTCGAAGTCGCTGCGTCAATGTCTTCGAGGAGGATAACACAGTTCTGAGGCAGTTTGTCCAATAAAATGGTCAGAGCGGCATCATCGAGGTTGGCGAGGCTGAGAATGTAGATGTCCAAGCCGAAATGCCCGGCAATCGAAAAGCTGAAACTGGATTTTCCAGTGCCCGGTGGCCCATGGAGCAAGTATCCTCGTCGGTATGGAAGGCCTCGCTCGGTGTACCATTCCCGCGTGCTTGAGTCAAGAAAAGTCTCCATGTCGCTCAAGACGGCTTCTTTCACCTTGACGTCATGGAGAACGGTCGAAACGTCTCTGTTGCTTCTCGTCTTGGACTCCTCCCACCGTGCGCCTCTTGCCTCGAAGATGAGCGTCTTCCCACGGAGATCCTTCAGGTACTTTTCGCGGCTTTCCTCCAATAGAGCCTTCAGGATGCCCGTCGACCATCCGAAGCACTGGAGCGAGACTTCTTCCGTTTCTCGGGCGAAGACGTCGTTGTTGCTCTTCTCAACGCGTCTGAAGACGATCCAATGGCCCTTGTAGAGGAACCAGAACTCGCCATTCCACGGTGCATACTGAAGAGGCTTCTTGTTCGGACCATGGGAAGTGGGGGCGCACGCCTTCTTCATGTCAACGGTGACAAGGGACGAGTTGACGTCTTTGAAAAAGGGTTGGGGGGAGAGCCAGGCAAGAAGCATGCTGTGGGCCTCGTTGTTGCAGGAAAGATGGATTGTTGAAGCTAGAGAGTGTGAGTGAGGTATCTCGACTGCTTTGTATCTCACCCACTCACTGTAGTAGCTCCTCATCATTCTCCAAAACCACTGGTAAACATGCTCATACAAAAACAGCAGCAAAGCAAGAAAGCACAGAAGTGGAATGACAGCATCCAAGTTAATGCCAGTGTAGTGTTGAATGATCGGGGAAACACGAGTGAACCCAGGAAGGAATATGTCTATGATAGAGGTATGTCTGTCCGAGACGGATGAAGATGGACTGGTGTTGTCTGTCGCCATGGCTGTGATGGACGAAGGATGACAAGTTGACGGAATGAGTAATAATCGCGGTTTGAGACTGAGATTGGTGTAGAAGCGAGGCACGAGGATGGGAATAGAGTAACTCGCGCTCCCCTGCCTTTATATACCTGGTCCGGAAGATTCAAGACATCAACGCGGCCTCGCGTGTCAACCACCAACGTTCCCACGCGCTTCCCCCTCTTCCTCCATGATATGGATTCTATCACGCATAGACGCCACCCTGCAGGTCACCCCGCCAACTGTGCACGTCGCTCGGAGACAAGAAGGGAAAGAAGAAGTCTTACACGACGTTAGGTCACAGTCCTCATGCGCGGGTGCGTAACGACATGCGTACAGGCCACTGTGCGGCCCGTACTGGGACTCGAATGCTCGCATGGCCGGTCAACGTTCGCCGGAAAGCGGGACGGGGAAGATCCGTCGCCACCGCATCAACTCTCCGACCTCGTCGATCTTGCACAGTCGTGAAGGAAGTTCTTCGGCTGAAGTGGAGACCATCTCTCTGCTCAGCCCGCATTGGCTCATTGGCTCATTGGCTCATTGGCTCATTGGCTCATTGGCTCATTGGCTCATTGGATCATTGGCTCATTGGCTCATTGGCGCATTGGCTCATCGGCGCATTGGCTCATCGGCGCATTGGCTCATTGGCTCATTGGCTCATTGGCGCATTGGCTCATCGGCGCATTGGCTCATCGGCGCATTGGCTCATTGGCTCATTAGCTCATTGGCTCATTGGCTCATTGGCCCATTGGCTCATCGGCCCATTGGCTCATCGGCCCATTGGATCATCGGCTCACTAGCTTGCTCATGGACAGGTACGTACTAGTCCTCATTCATCGTGACTTATTTCCACCACAGACCCCGCATTCGAAGCCTCCATTTTCCCCCGTCCCACCACACATGGCACACCCCCCATCTCCCATGTTTTACAACGGCGATTCCAGGTCGAGTATCTCAGGGGTCGTGGGAGAGCGTTCGAGTTCGCTATGGCCTATGTCCACATCCTCTTGGTGCAATGGTGGGAAATGCTCAAGTATCTTGAGGAGGCTGCATAGGCCGGCGACAGGGGTATGAAAATTTGACCCGTTGCGGCTTTATGTCGTTGGAGAGATGTGGAATATTGATGATTTCCGGCGCGATCGCGATGTCTGGGCAACTGTTACGAAGTTGGTCTCTTGAACGTAGTGCGCAGATTATACGAACAGCGGGGAATGATGATGTTCGTCGTAGGAACGAAAAGGAGCGAGTATGAGGGCGTCACAAAAATTGGCTCTTGGGACTACCTCGGTCGCCATTTATAGATGCTCTTAGTGGGTCATCTGCCAGTCGCCATGTGACTCGATTCGTCAGCCTGAACGACTGACCACTGGACGGACAAAATGCATTTCACCTTTCTCATCATTCTGGCCGACGATGACTTCGATGGCGTGTGCTTGCCACACGCAGTTTGAATCTGCCAGCGAGCTTCAAGAGCATTTCACCGCTGCCCAAGTTCGTGGTCCACACTCAACTTAATTCCATCGACTAAATCGTCTAGCATCGCGCCCAGGAGTTACTCCGAGAGCTTCAGGAATGCCTGTCCCACCGACCCATTTTGCTCCCTGTTGGCGACGACGAAAACCCCAAACCTAGCGACATCCTCCCTGTTGGGGACAACGAAAACCCCAAACCTAGCGACATCACTGGAACCGTAGCGGACGATATTCCTGTCAGAACGAATGGGAAGGCCCGACCTCATTACCAATGCCCTCACGATCACTGCAAAGACAAGGAAAAGACGAATTTCACGCGGCGCAAAGACCTTGTGCGTCACTACACCATACGTACAATCTCCCAATGCCCTGATAGCAGCTCACTGTTGATGATGCTACAGATGTGGCATGCCGAGAACTCTGCTTGTTCTGTGACTGCCCGATTCACGTCGTGAGAGCATACGTGACGCATTTTGATGCGTGCGAAGTTCGGCGGAGGCAAGCAGAACTCGGAACTGTCTCTCGAGAGCACATAGCAGAGGCTGTTCAAAAGCGACGCTCGTTAAATCAAGCTGCGAGTTCCGAATTGGAGGAGCTTTTAACGAGAACGCATGCTGACAAGGGGACCGGAAAGAGGTCGTCGACAGACTCGGACCTCTCCGGTCCAAACAAAAGATGGAGGCATGATGACAATGGAGCACGTAATCACAGGCCGCCCGGTTCCTGTGAATGGATTCCTCTCCCAGGTGTGTCCTCACTACACACTGCTGCCACTCCTTCAAGTAACCGAAGATTAGATGATTCGACGGCAGGCCAGGCTCCTGTGGGCAGCGAAGCACAAGCTCACACCACGAACGCGCCTGCTACCGCTAGTCATCCGCTCCTGAAGCCACTAGCTGCCTACGAGGTGAACCTCCAGTCATTCGGGATCCTTCCTAGGGTCGAAGAAACGGATTGGCGCAGTGGCGACCGCGCCGACCTTGAGTTTCAGGGAGACCATGTCAACAATCAACTTCCGGAAGCTTTACCGCGTCGCGCACCAGTTGTCTCATCGTACACGATGGATGTACCATACGATGTGACATTCGATTACCATCCCGTAGACACAACAGCGGGACATAGCGGGCTTTACATGGGGCAGCAATCTTTCCCGAACGAAGGGTTCCATTCTAGTGCCATCTGAGCAGAACCATGTGTATCAAGTTTGCAAGTTTGTCTCCGCATGAAATGGCCTGGGTTCCACAAACTCAAAATTTGCGTTGATCGCCTCACTGCGAATCTCCTGGGCCTTGGCCACCAGCTCCGGTATTTTGGGCAGTGTCATTTTAGCCCAATGTTGTAGCTCATCCGGCGTGACAAATGCTAAGGCCACAATACGTCCACCCAACACTCCGAATCCTGTTCTCCCATCTAAGATGGTGCTATCGCGCGTCAGACAGACAGGGTTGGACCCTCAAGTTAGAGACTTACTAGCCACCATCTGGGATGTCTTCTTCTCTGCGCGTGATACCTGGCCGTTCAAGGTTCTCCGGTGGTATCGACAACAAACCATTGGGCGCACCAACAGCGTTTAGAAGGTAGAGATGTGAGCCTCCGAAGAATACTGCCTTAGATCCGCTGGCCCATAGTAGGACTATGAGCACCTCCGCCTCCGCCTTTGTTCGGTTCAAAATGCAGTAATGGTGCTTCGAAGGACCGTATGTCTTGAAGAGGCCAAGCGATGACTGATCGAAGAGGAACTCGATGACGTTTCGTATGCGCAACACGGAGTCAGCTAGAAGAATGGGTTTCTTGAAGCATAGGTGTATCGTACCTTATCCTCAAAGACACTGGCCCTGCAAAATTCCAGGCCTTCGACGTTCTTGAAATAGTAGCCCTTGGTCAGAATCTTATCAACCCTGCTGCCAACAGATTTATCGGGTTCGTGAAAGAATCCTTGCCGAAGGATGGACTTTCCTGGGTCCTGAGGCGTCTCCGCCATCATTGTGACCCTGGCTGAAAAGCCGCGGGGAGTGGGCGATGGGTTCTCGATGTTGACGTTCTCGAAGAGCCATCATCGTGACCTGGGTAGGAAAAAACCACGAAGCGGGGTCTGCGTTGAACTTGGAGGAAAATTTGGGCGGTGATAGTCGGCAATATCCGGGACCGGCTTTGCGCTTCCGCTAGTCGCATATTGAACTAAGCATCTCTGACGTCAAGGTGCCCCAAAAAAACGCCTCAGAGGGACTTCGTTTTCCCGACATCCGGCCTGCGCGTGTCGCGTACTCAAATGTCGAATTCATCCACTTTGCTATCCAACAACTAACCATGTCCGAAACATCAGAACCTCCATATGCTAGATGGCGGCCTCCTCGCCCACTCTTTACGGAACGTTGCGACGCAGTGAAGAAATCCCCGTTCCTGGATTTCCGACCAATTACCGATAAACCCGATCTTCAGTGGGAGAACTTCCGACAACCATTGCTGAAGAAGAGCCCCCTGTTAACTGAAATCGAGTATCAATGCCAGCTTGGTTTTGGTGTTGATGGTATTGTGTGGAAGGTCGAGATTGAAGGAAAGGCTTACGCCTTGAAAGTGGTAAGGTATCCCATCTCGCAACTACCTCAACTTTACTGACATCGTGCCAGTTCTGGGACAACACGCCTCCCAGCGGCACGCGATACTGGGCTGTTCAGAGAGAATGTCAGAACGCCGCGCTGCTTGAAATGATCCGAAACGCTATCAATACCTCCGATCAACCTGTTTGCCTCCATCCCAAACCCCAGACGCACGCAGACGCAGTCGCAAATCTGCGCGTTTTCTCCATTGAAGGCCGCCAAAGGTTCCGAAACACTCCTGGTGCAATTGAGTACAGCTCAGCACCGCGATTTCGACAGTGTATGGGCTGGGCTTCAATCCGAGGCTCGCATCTCCTTGCTCTGGACAACAACATCCGTCCTTGTCGACCGGTATTCAACGGCATCCAGCGTGAAATACGACGTGAAGAACATTACTACGCGATAATCTATGAATTCATTCCCGTTCAGTCCGCGACACTACTCACTGGTGACACCCAGCAATCTCAGTTGGATCTTCTCTGGCTGGCTGGCTTTTGCCTGGTGCCTCTCAGGCCACCCAGGAGCCGTGAGCCCCTATGAGCCATGTGCCATGAGCCAGTATGAGCCATGAGCCCCTATGAGCCATGAGCCCCTATGATCCATGAGCCATGAGCCACTATGAGCCATGAGCCACTATGAGCCGTGAGCCACCATAAGACATGGCGTCGCTCGTTGCTCATTATATAGAGTGAGTTACGATGCCGTCAACTTTGATCTGAGGATTCACACCCTCCCTAACCTGACCAGATACGCATCTTGCCCAATGGCCCCATCACTGCTTGCAATTCTCTCTGAGCGAAATCCCGACCTCAACGCCAGCTTCGTCGGCGAGGGCTCAAACACTGTCAATGACGACTGGATAGAGGTAACCGAATGGCGGAGGTGGACCGATTTTACCTACGACAACCTCATATCGATGTACGGGCAGCTACTTTCGTCACGATTCAAGAATGCACCCCAAATGGAGCTCGGTTCCTATTATGACATTGAGGTACGAGATGAGCACTCTCTCGACCTCTTCCTCCACAGATTCATCTTCCCGACTGTCAACTGGGCTCTTCAGCAAGCTGGCGAAGATGAGGCATGGGGCGGTGAAGAGTTCTACCTCGGGCCAGGTTCGTGGACTGGAACAGCCGACTGGGGTCTTGTGTCGCACCATCGAATGGTTTACGGGAAATATGTGAATTTGCTCCCCGGCGACACCAAACTGTCCGCCAAATGGCAACCGCAAATGGAGAGATCGCTTGATGATGGCGATCGAACGCAGTGGTCATTGCCAGTCTCGCAAGTTCACCATTGCCGACATTGACAGATCCAGTCCCATCAGACAACGGCGCGAGGGCGACGCTGCGACGTCAGGGAAACAGGGAACGTCAGCCAGGGCACCAGGAGCTGGAGCCGGCAGCGCTGTCGACCGGCGATATAGTCAAGGTCGTGTGGCCGGCCTTCCTCGCCACCAGCCTCGAGCAACACGCGGACGAGGAAGAAGGAACATCGGATCTCGTCCACCATGGGTATGTGCTTACGCGTGCCGACGTCCAAGGCGCCGCGAACGAGGAAATGCCGCGGAGTGCCTTGCGGAGAGCTACGCGCGACAGCAACGCTGGAGCTCCGAGAAAGAGACGGGACTCGGCTGTTTTTTTATCCCACGGAGCATCCGATGGATCGGACGTCAAGTAACCCGTAGTCGCTGGCGGACACGTAGGACAGCAGAGGTGCCATGAGGTTCGCTTCTCGGGATGGCTGGGCATTGGTGGCAAGGGTGTAGGACGAATTTTGGGTCATTCGGAGTGTTCATGTACCACAGATTGAAATGCAGCCAAATTGCGGACCTGAAGCAGGAGAGAGCCCTGCGCGTTGATATCCGCCCCCTTCTCCAAGGGCATGGACATAACGATCCCCGAGCACCAGCGGCTTTCCACCAAGCGAATGGTTTTCGGGGCAATTCGAGACACACTCGTAGCGCCTTGGACAAGCCAACTGCGCAAGACGTCTTCAAAAGCTTGGGAGGCACTCAAGCGCCTGTCGCATCTGATCAGTCTCAACGATGCAGCAGTGCGAGTGTACGGCGATGCCGCGAGAGCGTCCCGGGCAAAGCTGATGGTGCTCAGTCGACTGGCGAGTGGGCGCTCCGTCGAGAACGGAGATTGTAACGCGCCGTGCAAGAACGAGGTGGATGGGACACGCCAGGGCTGCTGGTTGACGAACGAGAAGTGGCGGGTAGGTCGAAGGCGGGGACGTTGCAGGCGAACGCGACACGAGGGAGGATGGAGGATATCGGGGAGGGCGGTCGCGGGCGCTAGCGAGGCAAACACACTTCCAGACGACGCAAGTGGGAGGGCCTCATAAAGTACGCGGAGTTGTCGGAGAGGCTGTGAGAACGCAGGCAAGCAGGCAAGATGAGGAGTGGGGTAGCACAAGGTCTTCCCGGCCGAGGAGACGATCCCCTTCTCTTCCAGTTCCGACAAGGCCCAACACCGTCACCCGCACGACGCTTGTAGTTAGATCAGACTTGGGCCAGGACGTGGTCTGTCCACTGGAGATTTTGCTGACAAAGCACGCAAAGGCCAGAAGACATCCCCGCTCTCATCAGGCTGACACTGACCATCTCTGATCCAAAACGTCTCTTTCCGTCCACGACTTCCAGGACATCCATCGCCAGCCCTCTTTACAGCACGAACTGCGGTGTGGTGTTTCCGAACGGCACCCTGAGCCAAGCCACAATGGCCCTGAACCCACCGAAACCTCCGCAACTTTCGGGCAGCACCACTCCGTCGTCGATTGACCCTGCCTTCGACGATGAAACCTCGACCGATGAATCTCAATCCATTAAGCATATCATCGAGGATGTCAAGTTAGAGGAGGACTCTGTCCAGTTCTACATCGGAGGCCACAAAGAGGCGATGACAACACGGCGTATGCACATTGCTAAGAGGTCGTGGAATGTCCAGGTCAGCAACATGGACAAGGAAGAGAACATCAATCGGCTTGCAGAAACTGTCGAACGTGACAGGCGGGCGGTGGCTGCGGAGACACAGCGCAGGGCTTCTACCGAGACGCCCACAAAGTCTACCTCTTTTGCAGGCATTGGTCGCATAACGGGGTCTGGAGGTCAGACCCCCAGAAGCGATTGAGTTTTGGACGACCTATTATCTGTCAAAATGAATCCTATCTTCTGTTCTTCGACCTGAGAAACTCCTGCAGTGCGTCCGAGGAGGATGTCATAACGATCTGCTTTGCCCTGTTTCCCAGACTGATGCGCCTGACCTCAAAGAGCTGGTCACGAGACGTGATCAGCATCTGTTCCCCATCCACACCGACGTTCACATCCTCCAGTACGTGAACGCTGCTGGACGATGCTTGCTCGGCAGCGTGGTGAAGGACCGCTAGACACTGCTCGGTGCTGCGGGACTCGCTCACAAGCCTCCGAGCATCGTCCTGGGAGACTGGGTCCGCTGTCACCTGGTGTGGGTGCCCTACAGGGGCGTAGCGCCCCGGTCGTCTCTGCATTTTCTCAGGGCGAACATGGTCGTGATTTCCGCCAGTGTATAGTGCTGGGCCGACGCGGGGCCCTCAGTGCCGTCGGTCCCAAGTCTCAGCTCATCAAGCCGGGCGAGGCCGTGAGCGCAGATGTCGAGGCAATGTTCCGTGCTCTGTCGTTCCCTCTCGAACCACTGTCTGTCTTCCACCGTAAGGGGCCGGCCGCTCAGCGGGGCGAGAGACCGCAATTTCGCGTTAATCTCCTCGAGATGATTCTCAAGGTCCTGTCGTAGCTCTGATCATGTCCTGGTACTCGTCGAGGGCGGCCCGTGTGATCTTGCTCGATCGTCTGGATGTCTGTTAGCAGGCAATCTCGCACAGGGATGTGTGCCTCACAGGTTGGCATCGGCGAGCGCCACGGATATCGTAGACTTATAGCCAGCCAGCATTTCGGTGAAGCCCCGGATGTCGGTGTCCATGTATCTGAGGCGCACCCAGTCTCGGACGCTAGGCCTGGCGCCATCGGAGTGGGTTGTGCACCTGACGACTAGCGCCCTAAACTCGCCACATGCCTCGCCGCACTGACGCAGCGGGAGCTGAAGCGACAGAAGGAACGTTGCCTCTTCCTTGACCGCGTCATGGAGTGACCCGAGGACGCCATCGAGGCTCTTCAGTTCGTCCTGCAACTGTCGTACGGCACGGGGCTGGTCACGGAAGCTTTGCACCGTCTCGTACAGCGCCTTTGTTGATTGAGCTGTGGCGACGATAACACCAATCACGCCCGACGCGATACTCAATGGGTCCGCCATCTAACCGTGGGGAGTGGCCAAAGGGTGGCCCGAACGACTGGAAAGGTGTCTCGTGGCGTGACGACAGCTTGATCTGAAGGTGTACGCCGCGGAAACAGGCTGAGCGCATCCTATTTTCGTCACGTGGTGCTGACGCCTGCCGACTGGTCGATGTACCGCGAGAGAAAGCCTGGCCATCGACCACGACGACCACGACAAGCCTGACAACCACGGCGACCTGACGACTACGACAAGCCCCGAAGAAATCACGACCGAGAGCGCACCTGCGATGCCGAAACGCACACGCGCCCGAACGCACGATTGAATCGGACCTCTGCGCACGATTTGGCGCCGCCAAGTATGGTGACTGCCTGCCAAAGCCGGCAATCTCCACGATAGGCTTCAGACGGCGCGGTATCCTGACGGCAGACGCGCTGAACCTCGGTCGAATGGTGCCTTGACGCGCCCGGTACATTGGAGGGAATGGCCTGGGGTTCGCCAGGCGCGATACACCGACATCATATTGGCCAGGTCAACGGTCGCGCTTGCCTGCTTGCGAGAGGCTGCCCCGGCTGTCCCATCGAAGTCCTCGTCTTCGTAGGCCTTCCACATAGTGCACCGGCTAGCTGCGGGCAAGGTGGCGACCTAGTTTGTACCTCAGCATGTCTACAACCCCCGCCATTCGGGACTTTGAGCGTGATGTTGCCAAGTTCTGTTCAGGAGCTCGTTGACGAGGCATATGTACGAACCGCTCTCTGTACCGTGACCTTCGAGAGCGAATCTTGGGCTGACCGACGACCCCATCTCTGCGCCTATGGAGCACATGTCTTTCAGCGACGGCCAGGCTGCCGCATTTTCGGCCCCCGGCTCCTAAGACCCATCGCAGGGCGAAGGGAAACCAGACAGACCAATTCTGTACATACAGGACTCTGACGGTCGAAACATCCCCGCCGTCGCGATGGAGGACAAGGCACCGCACAGGCTGCGCATCAATGAGGTCGTGACTGCGAGGGCTGCATCGAAATATGTTTCCTTAGCGACTATGTTATGTTGCATCTGAGCTCTCCTAGTCACTTTCACACCTAACCTTCCTTCATAGCCAAAGGCCCCTGTCGTAGGACGCCCGCGACATGCCGTCAAAGCAGAATCTGCATCGCAACCTCCAAGTCCTGAATCTCCTTCTTCACTCCCTCGTGCGACGGGACTCCCCCGCCAGGGCCGAAGCTTTTCGGTTTTCAGGCCGAGCACCCATTGCTCCGAGAACAAGCGAAGGGGGCTCTCCGGACCGGAAAGAAGCTTGTGATCAACAACCTGGCTGAAGATATTGTCAACGAACCGCTTGTAGGCCACCTTGTAGTAGGCCTCGAGGGTGTCGTGGATGGTCTCCTTGGCGTGTGCTGCGTTACTCTTGTTCCTGACGGCCTCCGCAACGTCCCTTAGATTGATGATGAGATTGTCGAAGCTCCTGCCAGGGTGCTAATGGCGGGCATTGGGCCGCAGAGTTTCCTGAATCCGCGCCCCGTGGCTCCTCTGCTGGTTGTGGTTGAAATAATGATTCAGCGTGTACGGCTTAAGCTGCCTCTCAACGTCGACCAGGAAGGTTGCTTGGTCCATGCCACCCTCGTACTTGATGCAGAGGTCGCTTATGATGGCGGATGTGATATCCTGGAGGACATGCGCATCTCGACAAACGACCTCCAGCGCCACCATGATGAATCGATGGACGAGTAGGATGATCTTGCTGAGGTATTGCTTTGAGATCATCTCCCACTTCGCTGACTGCTCCCGGAAAACACTAGGAAGAATGCCATGACCGAGAGAGCCCAAATCAAGTCCACGGGAGCGCTGGTAGACAGTCTCGATCCACTTCATAATGCCCTTCTTGGGACGCTCAATGACCCAGTCTATGAGGATGATGCTGCCCAAGTCAGGGAATGCCTTAGGATCGGGAATGTCAAACACTTCAAACTCTTGAATGCCATTCTCGTCATCGTCACATGTCTCCTCCGAAGGAAAGACTGGGCTGACAGGAGTGCCCACCTCGACCGGAACCGCAGCTGTCACCTCAGATTCGAAGAGGAAGGTGCGAGCAAACTGGTCGAACTCGATGTTGAACTGCTCTGTGGTGTTGACCACGGCCGTGATGAGCCTCAGCTCGTTCCTGTCAAACGCAGAATGCGCCGAATAGTCCGCATCCAGCGCGGCTCGAACGAGGACCTGAACGCTATAGCACAGTAGCCTTCAAACACTTATCTAGTACCGCACGCTGTGCCGCCGCATGGCCCTCATGCCGTACGTAGCCGTTCAAGATCTCGTTATTGTAGAGCCTGTGTATGAAGATTCCTCTCGATTCAGGGGCATTTGCTACGCATCTCCAGTCCGGTCTCCGCCACCAACATGAGGTGAGCCTGGCTATGCTTGAGGGGCCCAAGGTCGCCTGATGGCAGGGGACTGTATGGCATGAAACGGCTGTCTGTAAATTGTATAGGCCAGAAGATGACACTAGCATATTGTCCATCAGGAGAAGATGGGGCCAAGGCCTCCTGATAGCAGGGAGTCGAATGGCAGGAACCTGCCTGTCCAGAAGTCGAATGGCTCGAAACCAACATCAGGAAGTAGCAGAGCGCCCACGTGGGGTCCTACCAAGCCTCCACGTGACCCGCCAGCTCTTACGCTCGGCGATGCCGTTGTGAACAACCGACAGATGAGGACCAGAGTGGTGGAGGCCAGTCGCGCAAGTGGCGTCTGGAATCAGCCGAGGCGTCAAGTCGATCACGTATCTGCGAGGTTTGCTTCTGGGGCTGCACTACCCTAATTCATCGGCCCCTGCGTTTTCAAGTCCCTCGCTGTCTTGAGAGTCATCCTGCTGGCCTCGACCGTCTCCTTATAGTGCCGGCTGCTTTGGCGGCGTTGGTGTTTTGGAGAGAGTCGTGTGCCAGCCGTTCAAGAGCGAACCATGCCCACAGCGTTCTCCGCTACGTCTCGATAACGACGTCGTTCCCTTCGCGGTCGGCAGTCTCGTACAAGAGTCTAAGAGCCTGACACAGGCGGTCTGCTGTCCCTAGTTGAAACCACGCGCGTTGCTCGTTCCCGTGACCGACTTCGTACAGACTGAGGATGAGGTTGCAGTGGATGTTATCCAAGGCCGGCTCATCATGCGTCGCCATCATCTCTTTGTGGGCGGCGGACGCGAAGTGCGCACTGGCTTCAACCGTGCCGCCGTAGCCGTGGTAGCAAGGCTCGACGTAGCGCGCCACGAGGCTCAGCATGCAGAGCAGACCGCGACACGGAGCCATTGTGGACTTCTTCAAGGAAGGCGTGTTCCCGAAAGAACCAAAAAGGGAACTCGCCGTACAAGTCGAAGAATACGTCGACTGCAGTGATAATAATGTCCCTCGAAGGTAACCTAGTAGACAAGAACAGATCAGCGGCGGAATACTTGGCGAGAGCAGTGGGACGCACTCTTCTCTTTCATCTTGCGGGTTACCAAGAGCCGTTGGTGGGCTGGAAGTGATGCCGTCCTACGTGCATGCCTCGGATCTCTTCACGCAGGCATGGCAGGATGGCCAAGCCCCCGAGCATTTGAACTTGCGCTGTCTGTCTTCATGTCGATGAACAGGATTCATGGGCGGACTCACCGGCATCGGTTGCATGCAAGGGATGCTCGGCCGGCAGGTCTTCCTTCCCTTGAAGCCACATGTCGACGAGACATGAAGACTCCCGGAGCGAACACGGCCTTTTGTGACATGACATTGGCTGGCGGTTGACCGTCTGGGCGAACTGCAGTCACAGTTGGGAGATTATGAGTGAGTGTGATGGTCGGTTCGGTCGGTCGAGACTCGAGAAGACGTGAAGTGGGGGCGGGGTAATTATGGTGGCCCGTGCACTCTACCGCCCTGGAAGGCTTGGATGAGTCATCACTCCCAAACACCTGCCCCCTCGGGCAGTGAAGCCATCCAAAAATCTGCTGGACTCCCCTTCAGACCAAAACGGTCTCCTATTACTACACTTCCTTCTTCGCAGCCAGCTCCTTGCGCATCCTCTTGAAATCCGGCATCGCCCACTTGGTCATCCACTCCGACTGCAGAACTTCATTCACCGTGCACCGTTTCTCCGGCCTGTATTCGAGCATGGGCCGGATCATGGTCATGAATGCCCCCTTCTCGTCCACGCTAACCATTTCTTGCCCCAACTCCTTGCGCCCGTTCTGTATGGCGCTATCAAATTCAGCATCCAGCGAAGCGACGCGCCTGTTCCTGAGGAGCTGGCCGTCTTCTGTGAAGTATTTGGAGCGGTTTTCCCACCGCGCCCACCATTCAGGCGGCAATCTTCCCAGCGCCTCGACCTGTTGAGCTGTTGTCCGATCATTGGAGCAAAAGTATGTTTCGAACAAGGATCTCTGGCCGATGACAGCCCATATTGAACAGGCAAGGGTCCAGATCTCACTAGGGAACGAACGGGGTTGTTCTGGCTCAAATCGATCCTCCGGGGGACGACAGTGAGGCGCTGTAGGGAAGGTAAACCTTGTCTCTTGGGAAGGGCAGAAGGATGTGCCGAAGTCGGCCAGGAGAATTGCAGCATCCGAGAGTGAAAGCTCATCGCTGTTCTTCCCGAAGAAGGCTGGTAGAGTGGCAAGGGAGGGAATGCCGACGGCATCCAGAACTGGCTTGTCGTCGTCAGTTTCAACTTGCTCCTCCTCCGGTTCCCCCCATCTCTCGCGCAGCTCTTCGTCGGACAGGAGCTCAAAGCCTCTGGACGCTTTGAGAAGGATGTTGCCGAGATGAAGATCTATGTCGGCCTGGGTCAGCTTCTGGCGCACGCATGCGTCTCCCACTTGAGATTGGGGCTCACCTCCATGGATGATTCCGTTGCCGTGCAAGTAAGCAACTGCGAGCACGAGCTGCGCCGCAATGGCGCGCGCAACATGCAGATCCAGAGGGGCAGAGATGGAATTTCGTTTCGACCTGCTCAGGCTGCCACTAGCAGCGGCAGTGACGAGGCAGGTATGGGTACCGTTCGGCCCTTGGACTTGGAATGTGTCAAGCAGCGACGGCATCATGTCCCGCCCAAGGGCAGGGTCTCCATTGGCCTCGAGAGGAATCGCCGCCAGGAGCGACAGCATCTTGGATTCTGACTCGCGGCGACTTTCTTCTCCAGTGCAAACTTTGACTGTGACAAGCCTCTGGAGTTGTTTGTCGCGGGCCAGCCAAACCGTCGAGTAGCTGCCGTGGCCCAGTTTGTCGACAACTCGATAACGATCACCGATTGGGCTACCAATGTTCAGCGGGTGATAGCCATCGTGATCATACATGTAGAAAGGCTCAACATCTTCGATGGGCTTGATGGAGATGGGTGGACGCAGTGTACCACTAGATTGCTTGGCTGGTTGAGACATGAAGCGCGGTGGTGAGAGTGGACGCGAGTAGGGTGCCTTGGGTCGTGTTGCTGAGAAGAGAGTGATGTGATGACGACGCCCGCGAAAGGTCTGAAGCGCCCACGATGTTGTTCTCATGGTCGCGATGACTCGCGCGGGCCACTTGCGGAGTTCCCGTCGCTGGTTAGGAAGGGAGGTCCAGTGTTGCAGAAAATAGCTTGACACCAACAACGGCAGGCTAAGGCGCTTGGACCCTTGTTCAGGCCAAGGGCGCCTGAGGCTGTCACTGGACCGACCTTCAGAAAGCGCGTTCAACGACGACGAATCAATTGCGTCTAACGTACTCCACAAGCGAATGCCACACACAAGCGAATGCCACACCTACCGTAGTGACCTACCGTAGTGGTAGTGACGGAACAGTGGGCGAACGAATATCTCAAAAACTTCTATTTCCATCTCAAACAGAAAGGAGTGTTGTCGTGGCCCAGTTCGCAAGATGAGCTTGGCCGCAAGTGCGGGGATCGTGGTGGGGGAGCGGGGTAACCTGACGCGGGCGGGGCGCCGGGTCGTGAAGCGGAAAATCGACGATTCGGGGAATGAATCGGGAAGGAGCAGCCGGTATGCGACACGAACAACTGCGAAATCGACACTGGCGAAGGAGCACGACTGTGCGACCGATGCGAGAAATGGAAGCGACGACGTTAGCGACGAAGGCGCGGCGCTCCAGCAAGTGTCGGAGCTTCTGGGCGGTTGCCGTGCCGACTTCGCGGAGCTCAAGCAAGCGATCCTAGGGCAGGGCGAAGTCATTCGCGCCCAACAAGAAACCATCCGAAGCCTGAAAGAGGCGTCCGAGGAGCAGAAAAATTTGATCCGGGACATGAAGCTTGCGTTCGAGGACGCTCAACAGCAGATGGGCCTGGAGCTGAAGCGACTACACGACAAACTTGAGGCCGTCACCGCTCACGTAACCGTTACCCCGCCGCGAACTTTCGCTGAGGTAGCGCGTTTGCCGCAGCCGACCCAGCCCGCAGTCATGACGCCTGCCAGCGCAGCGACTGTCCCTTGCACCGGCTCGCTTTACTGCACCATCGACACGTCGCGAGTGGAAGAAGCGAACAGAGACCATGTCCAAATCGGAGCAGTCCGGCAAGCCATTGAAGGAGAGATGAGGTCCAAGGATGGCCAGGCGACTTGGCGGTGCGCGGCGGTCGTGAGGGATGCTCGGGCTGCGGAACGCATCAAGGTTATCTGCCGAAACGAAAGCGAACTGAAGCAAGTCAAGGAGGCTGCACAGAAGACGGCCGTTGTTGGTGCGAGAGTGATGAGGGACCAGCTCTACCCGGTGAAGGTGGACAACGCGAACAGAAGCATGGTGCTGGATGCAGGAGGGAACGTGCTGCCGGGAGCTGCCGAAGCGTTTGGCGCAGAAAACAACGTCAGCATCGCCAAGGTGTCGTGGCTGAGCAACAGAGAGTCGGGAAAAGCCTACGGGTCGATGGTGGTTTATGTCACCAAGGAAAGCGACGCGAGACGGCTCGTGGACGGCCACTACTTTGACCTGGCAGGCGAATCGGCCATCACAAACGTTTTCGAACGACGAGTGGGGCCCGTGCAGTGCTACAACTGCCAGGCTATTGGTCACAAGTCGTTCCAATGCAAGAACTCGCAACTTTGCGGGAGATGTGCGATGCCGGGACATCAACGCAAGGAGTGCCAAGAGGCGGAACCGAGATGCGTACCATGCGGTGGGCCGCACGAGTCGCTCGGCCGAAACTGTCGTATGCGGAACACTCGCAGCGATGAGTAACACCTTGAGCATCTTACAACTTAATGTGCGAAAGCGAGAGTTGGTTCAGCAAAGCTTGATGAACGACGACACACTCAAGGACTATGGGGTTTTGGCGGTCTCCGAACCGTATGCGAGGCTGGTGGACGACAAGGTGGTCACGAGCCCGATGTGGCACAGCAACTGGACGAAGATGATCCCGACGCAGAAACATGATACCCTCTGGCCGATTCGAAGCATGCTTTGGGTACGAAGCGACATTGAGGCGGAACAGCTGCCGATACCATCGGCGGACCTCACGGCGGCCGTGCTTCGACTGCCGGAGAGAGACGTCCTGGTTGTGTCGGTATATGTGCAAGGAAGGAGCGTGGAGATGCTGGTCTCAGCCACGGAGCTATTGCACGACCTGATCCGGTCATTTCGTGACAGTACAGGTAGACGCACAGATGTGGTTCTGGCGGGAGACTTCAATCGCCATGACCTGCTTTGGACTGGCGACGACGTCTCGACTAGGAGGCAAGGTGAGGCTGAACCCATCATAGACCTAATGAATGAGTATGGCCTTCGTAGCCTGCTCCCGAGGGGCACGAGAACATGGCAGGGTCAGGACCGGGAAAGCACCATCGACCTGGTGTTGGCGACCTCGGAGCTGGCGGACGAGATGGTAACATGCGTCCCGCACCCGATGGATCACGGGTCAGACCATCAGGCCATCCATACGACCTTCGATGTAGCGCTGCCTGAGCGAGACACGACGCCACGATTGATGTTCAGGAACGCTCCTTGGAATCTCATCAGAGCAAGAGTGGAGGAGGGTCTCGGGGCGCTCTTGGGGGCGGCCGATGTGCAAGCACAGACGGACCAGCTCATGCGTGTGGTCTTAGAGGCGATCGATGATCTTACGCCACGAGCAAAACCTACGCCGTACGCCAAGCGCTGGTGGACGAGGGATCTAACAGAACTACGCCGGTCGTATATGTTCTGGCGAAACCAGGCTAGGTCGCAACGGCGGGCGGCGTGCCTCTGCCCGGACCTGGAACGGCGAGCCAAGGCGGCAGCCAAGGAATATCACGACGCCATACGGAGACAGAGGAAGGCACACTGGGAAGACTTTCTGGCCGAAGATATAAACATCTGGAAGGCAGCCAAGTATCTTGAACCTGGCAAGGACGCCAGGGGTGACAAGGTGCCGCCACTGAAGAAAGGTGGCGGAACCATGACCAGAAATAAGGCGGAACAAGCAGAGCAACTGCTCGACACGTTCTTCCCCCCACTACCAGCGAGAATCGAAGAGGAAGGGGTGCGTCCACAACGGCGAGCAGTAGCCATGCCGGCTTTGACTCTGGAAGAGGTCGAAGTCAAAGTCATGGCAGCGAAGCCGTGGAAGGCGCCCGGAACCGATGGCCTGCCGGCGATGGTGTGGAGACAGCTCTGGCCAATAGTGAAGCATCGCGTTCTGACGCTCTTCCAGACGTCGCTCCGCGATGGCGTCGTGCCTCACCAGTGGCGGACAGCAAAGATAATCCCGCTAAAGAAGCCGGAAAAAGGAGACTATGCGGTGGCGGGGGCGTGGCGACCTATATCCCTTCTGTCAACGTTGGGCAAAATCCTGGAAGCGGTCGTCGCGGAGCGCATTTCGTATGTGGTGGAGGCCTATGGGCTGCTACCTGCGAACCACTTCGGGGCGCGAAAGCGGCGGTCGGCCGAGCAAGCACTCCTCCTCTTGCAGGAACAAATCTACAAGGCGTGGAGAGCTCGGAAAGTGCTAAGTCTGATCAGCTTCGATGTCAAAGGCGCGTACAACGGAGTGTGCAAGGAACGATTGCTGGAAAGGATGAAAGCCAGAGGGATACCAGACCAGGTGGTCAGATGGGTCGACGCCTTCTGCTCTGCTAGGACGGCCACGGTCGTCGTGAACGGGCACACGTCGGAACTGCGCGACTTGCCACAGGCTGGTCTACCACAAGGGTCGCCGTTGTCGCCGGTGCTGTTTTTGTTCTTCAACGCAGACCTGGTACAGCGGAGGATTAAGGCGGCAGGCGGATCAATCGCATTCATTGACGACTACTCTGCTTGGGTGACCGGCTCAACCGCGGAGGCGAACCGGGCAGGCATTCAGTCAATCATTGATGAAGCACTCGACTGGGAGAAGCGCAGTGGCGCGACCTTTGAGACGAATAAGACGACGATCGTCCACTTCACGCGCACCAGCGCGCGAAGCAATGGTGTGGCATTCTGGATCAAGGACAGGGAAGTCATACCCAAAGCCAGCGCAAAGATTCTGGGAGTGATCATGGACTCCGGTTTGCGGTACCAGGAACATATCGCCAGCGCAGCCGCGAAGGGCCTCAACGCGGCCATGGGCCTGAGGAGGCTGAAGCTGCTCTCACCGAGGGTAGCGAGACAGTTGTTCATGGCGACTGTCGCCCCGGCGATGGACTACGCGTCGAACGTCTGGATGCATGCGCGTCGGGCGAAAGAAACGGGCTGGCTAAACAAAGCGCAGCGAGTTGGTGCGCAGGCCATCACAGGAGCGTTCCGAACCGTGGCAACTGCTGTGGCCGAGGCCGAGGCCGGCATCCGCGCAATAGGGGAACGGCATAAGCGGGCTGCGACGAGGCTCTGCATCGACCTACGGACGCTGCCGCGGGCGCATCCGCTGGCAGCACTGAGGAACAAAGCAAGCAAGCGGTACCTCTCGCCAATGCAAGGCATTGCCGCGATGGTGGCTGAGATGTCCACGGAGCGAATGGAAGTCATTCACGAGTATGCATTACGACCATGGACGGACCGTATCCCTGTGCTGGGGGAGGATGACCCCGAAGAGACCCAGACACCATATGACGTACAGGGTATCCTCATAGCAACCGCTTCGTCGCAGAGGGACGACGTTGTGGGCATGGGAGCCGTTGTTTGCGACACAACGCGTGGTGGCCTAGAGCACACTCTCGCCACCTTTTCCGTCACCATCGGACCCGGAAGTGAACAAAATCCGTACACAGCAGAGCTAGAAGCGATAGCGACAGCGCTCAGATCTATACCACCAACCACTGCCCTTCAGGATGTGACAATCGCGGTTGGCAACCGCTCGGTAGTGGCAGCGATCAGGCGCCCTCGGCAGCAATCTGGACAATGCACTATCCGTGGGATATATGATCAGATGGTGCGCCTTCAGAAGAGAGGTTGTACTGTCAGGCTTAGGTGGGTACCGGCCATTGAAGAGGAGTTCGCATCGCGGCAGTTGGCCAAAGCTGCAGCGAAACGAGCCACGGTAAGGGGATGCGAGGCAGCAATGTCATCGTACCAGGCGAGGACGACGACGCTCCGGATAGCTCTCGCCCAAGAACGAGCGCTCGAACAACTACCGGAAACCGTTGGAAGGTACTCGAAACGAATTGACAAGGCGCTGCCGGGCAGGCATACCCGTGCGATATACGACTCGCTGAAAAGGGAAGAATCGGGTGTGCTGGTGCAGCTCCGCACCGGCATGATTCGACTGAACAGTTATCTCCACAGGATAGGAGCAACGGATTCGGGCTTGTGCGATTGTGGACAAGCGACAGAGACGGCAGAACACTTTCTTTTCCGGTGCAAGAATTGGACGGCACAGCGGGAAATCCTGCTCAAGTGCTCACGAACAAAGATTGGGAATCTGTCTTTCTTTTTGGGAGGAAAAGCTGCATCGGATGACGACAGATGGGAGCCAAACATGCAGGCCGTGCGTTCGACGATCAGATTTGCAAAGGCTGGAATCGACTAGCGTCGCTCAGGGCGTGGATCTTTGACATGCGACTATACTAACGAAACAGCCTCGGCTGTGGCAGAACGTGCTTCAGTTGCTGAGAATAGGATGCTGAACACTTGAAGAACTTGGCCTTCAAGCAGGCCTGCCATGGAGTCAAGAGCGACGAGGTTGGCTTACAAGTGGTGCGACGATTTCCAGCGCCGCACTATGTCTATCCATTCTGCCAGTCACCTAACGTACTCCACAAGCGAATGCCACACACAAGCGAATGCCACACCTAACCGTGACTACGCGACAATAATCCCAACATAATCTACCATAACGCTAGAAAATCAATTGAAATCAATCAGAATCGTTTCTTAAGACGTTTTCACTTCTATCTGACAGGTTCTTTCGGTTTAGTCCTCTGCTGCTGACCACTGCCCCGTCGCGTTTCCTCCTTGATCTGGACCTCCACGTCCCTCTGCGTCTGAATGTCTTGTCCCTCGGCTAGAGTTAGGCTCCCTCCTTGTCTGAGACGTGTTTTCTTGCTCTGCGGCGCCTGCTAAGTGTCTCATTCGCCGCTCGAAGTATCATGATCTCCGACTGCATCAACGCCATATTGTACATGATTCCTCGCGACCCCTTCGCAAGATGGTCAACAGCCTCGGAAATCGACGTCGGGGAACTATTCTGAAGATGTGCGATTCGACATTTGATGAAATTAGACTGCGAGGACGCCTCGGTCGGGTTGTTGGGCGTCTTAGAAACCCAAGGGGCTAGTGCCTCGGGGACCCCCTCCTCAGGTGTTGGCGTCCGTGGTTTCACATCTAGCCTAGATATGGCACTTTCCGGGTCAAATGTAACAATCCCAGCCCCTCGGAAACCCCCTTGGACGTTCTTTTCCGTCATAGAAGCTTGGAATACCCCGAAAAACGCTGGCAAGAAGTCCTCCTTGGTAATGTGGGTTGTACTGCCCGCATCTGATCCTCGATTTGCCGCCCGTACGATTTCTTGAGCGGGCCAAAACACACGACATCGAGAGGCTGGAATATATGAGATGAACGTGGAGGCATGCAGAGTGTGATGATCCTATTCTCCTTGCAGAAGAGCTCGAAGTCTGTCGAATGGTGACTTCTATGACCATCCAGGACAAGGAGACCATATCCACCCGCAGTTCGAGGTTTCGTGTGCTTGTCGAAATGCCGAATCCATTCTAGGCCCTTCTCGTTCGTGGTCCAGCCGTTTTCGGTCGTCCCGATGGCCCAATCTTGAGGTAGGGTGCTGTTTTCATACCAGGAAGAGAGGTGATATTTGGTTAGCGACGATGATGAATGGCGGGATCGTCCACCCTTGGGAAGATTCCCAGGCTGGACTAATTTCGCGGTGGAACGTCTTTCTACGCTTGTAACGACCATGCCAGTCGAGATAACGCCCATCATAAACCCAGTCTCATCGAAGTTATAGATGTCTGACTCCACGATACCATACTTCGCGATTGCGTTCCGCACAAGGTCGAACCAGCCACGAATGACGTCTGGATCTTCGCATTGGGCCCTCTGGTAGTCGTATCTCCGAGAAAAACGCGTCTTGAGTTGTGGTTGTCGTCTGACGAAGTTCGACGCCCAGTTCTTTCCGACCTTAGTCGCGTCGCGTTCTGCGAGCAGTCGGTTAGCCATATCTTCCACACCAGAGAGCCGGGGAGGAAATGATCGGGAGTCCATATCGAGCACATATTGGACAATTGTCGATTCCTCCAGGTCCGTCAATTTCCGCGTCAGAGGCGTAATATCGCGTCGTGAAGATTGGCCACGCCGTCGTCGAGCCAGTGTGCTGTGATCTACGTTGTATATCTTTGCAGCGGCCCGAGCGCTAAGATTTGGGTCTTGTTTGATAGCCTGAACGGCTAGAATCAAGCGACTCTCTTTGCTGGCTGACTCCATTGGTGTTGGCGGAGAAGAACGCGGTTGAATGTGGACGGTCGCGTGGTCGCGGTTAGGTGTGGTATTCGCTTGTGGAGTACGTTAAACCAGGAGAAACACTTCTTCTCTGGGAGGATGAGGCAGCTTCTCGAGTTGCTGGTGCAACGCACTGAACACTCCTAACCAACGTAGGCGCTTGATCAGAATATCTTTCTTGTTGTCTACTCGGCGTCGGCAGACATCCACCCTCCACCATGAGGTCAATCATCAGCCTGGCCATAGCCTGGCTCGCCGCGACCGTCGTGGCGCAGTCGGACGAGTCGGGCAAGTACGAGGCTGTATTCTTCTTCTACGCCTACGCCAACGATTGGATGATGCATCCGGGAAACAACACCATCGGCGGCCGCAAGTGCCGGCGCAAGAACGAGCCCTGCGCCTTTGACGAGTGACTCGACGCCAACATCAGGTCGGGCGGCAGCAAGGGCGGCTACGGCGGGTGCTGGAACCCGACGACCCGGTACGACATCAACATTGGCGACGCCTACGGCATCGCCCGGCGCCTCGAACTGCAGTGCGGGCTGAAGAAGAAGATCGATTGGGACCTACAGCAGATTGTCATCGACGCGCCCAAGGAACAAGAAGCTCTACTGGGACCACATTAGTACGTCATGGGCTGAGTTGATTTTCTCCTGAGTCTTGAGACATACATGTTCGGACACCGGGAGTAACGCCCGACGCATCCACAGAAGCCAATGACTGACTCTCATGTTCTTTAGCCTACGTCATGAATACCTTCGGCAAGGACGCGGACAAGAAGGGCTCCTTAACGCAATTTGTCAACGTGGCCGCCAACGCGCTGCAGCTCATGAACAAAGCCGTGGCCAAGGACGACGTCGACGCCCTCAAGGAATGGATCGGCGACAAGGCGCCGAACGGCTTCAAGATAGATATCCTCGACCTGCCCCTGGGTCAGAGGTCAGGTGATCTATGTCCCACCTACCCTGCAGTCCTCTTCGGAGATTCACCACCATGTGTGTGCTAAATCCCCACTCCTGCCAGTCATCACCAGATCTTTGGGGGTCTCACATTTCATCTTCGGCAAACAATGTAAAGCGCAGCTTAGGCATTTGCAACGGATGCAATTGTGCTTGTTAGGTCAAGTACTCAATGCAGGGAAGCGTCAATATGTTTGTTGAGGTTGGGTGCCCTTTAGTGCCGCATGCGGATCACTGCAACGTGGCTGTCTGAACTGTTAAGTGGGCTGCATCTCAATCACATGCTTTCCCCTTGACTACCATGTCGATCGACTTCTTGTCATGACGCACACTGTTGCGTTGCTGGCCTTAATGTTCCGACTTTCTGGTGGATGTGTCTGTCATCGGCCTCATGATGACATCACTCGCACAGGCTGGGCCACCGAATCTCATAAGCATGGCATCTCCTTAGGGCTTTTTTTAAACAAGAATTCGAAAAATCGACAACACTGTTTCTTCCTTTTGGATCATTCAAATCGAGCAGTTCTCCCAAACCAGCCTCGACACAGAAATGGCGTCTCAGAAGGACGGCGCTCGGTTGGATGACGACCGTACCACAGTCAAACACGCACAAAACAAGATTGTTACGTCAATAGATGAAGTCCCTGTGACAGTCGAACGCAAGCCGTTCATCCAGCCCGAGGAAAATCAACGTCTGCTTCATGCGGGTACCGCCCGCGCCAACCTCGCGCCGACGTACGACCAACCCAAGGGCACAACAGACAACAACTGGGCCATGGACCACAGGCATCAGACTGTACTCCAGCAGCACGTCGAATTTTTCGACCAGGTATGTCCCAAAAGAGCGCCCTGGCGAGCCGCGATCTAACCAAACAAGGACCGTGACGGAGTCATATGGCCCATGGATACCTTCCGCGGCTTCCATCGCCTCGGCTTCCACCTTCTGCTATCCTTGCTCGCGGTATTCATCATCCATGCCAACTTCTCATACCCAACTGTCTCGTCTTGGCTGCCGGACCCGCTGTTCCGACTGTACGTGGGAAACATCCACAAGGCAAAGCACGGCAGCGACAGCGGGACCTATGACACGGAGGGGCGGTTCGTGCCACAGAAGTTTGAGGACATGTTTGCCAAGTATTCCAAGGGCGAGAACAGGGAGAGCCTGACGCTGTGGGACGTATGGGATCTGCACAAGGGGCAGCGGCTGTTGGCTGATCCGATCGGGTGGGGGGGCAACGTTTTCGAGTGTGAGTTCTCTTCCTGGCAGTGACCATCTGTGGGTAGGAGACAGGACTAATGACCTTAGGGGTTGCGACGTATATCATGCTGTGGCCGGATGATGGGAAAATGCGGAAAGAGGATATACGGGGAATATATGACGGCAGTTTGTTCTACAAGATTGCGGAGCAGCGAGAGAAGAATTTGTGAAGCCGAAACCTTGAATACCTCTGTCAGAAAGTGTCAAGGGTGTATGGCCGAGAATGCCAGTGCAGGAAATCTGATGATGGGTGCTATGGGTGACTGGAATTGATCGCTGGCCTCCCACTCGTGGGAGGCCATCTTTGGCCTTTATTCACGCCTAGTGGTCTCATCTTGTCAGACGTACGGGCCCTGATCAGGGCTAACTTCGACGTCTTGAGAGAGCTGATTAATTATCACGAGAAAAAGACTCTTGTTATTGATTGTCTTGTTCTTGTTACCTACAAGGTTGGGTTCTGACCGCCCTTATGTAGACCTCGTCTGCGAGTCAACCCGACCCGGCAGTTCATATGGTTATCCGGATCCGGTCATGGAAGTCCTGCAAACAGGAGTTGTCTGACAATTATTTCACAAACTAGTCTCATTTGTATAATTAAAGGCATCAGGGGGACTTAAAGTCGCGGAATGTTCACATTATTATCCAGCAACGAGTTGTTATCATCCCGACCAACTTCCTTCAGCGCGAGGAAGATAGCAGCAATCTTCCCTCGCCGAGGTCGAGTTGCAATGGCCGGCTCACGAGACATGAGTCAAAGTCTGCGACGGCGATCATGGCTTGAAGACTGTTCGGATCTGTCTCTTTCGGGCGGAAGACAGAAGGGAGCACGAACCACCCTGTCTCGCAAATCCTATATCTTACGGTGCGTTGATCAAACTCCACGAGGGTGCAGCATAGCCACCGGCCGAGATGAGAGTGCCGTTGACGGCAGTACCAGAGATGGAAAGTTCGAGGTTGCCAAACCAGGCCCGGTTGATGTGCGTGATGTTGGCCAATTGGATGCCCATCTACCAAGACGCGAAAGCGGGTACCGTTGGTTGCCGCGACAGGCGTGTTACGGCTGGGTCTTCTCATTCGTCACGAGGACATGGCCCTCAGCAGCACCATTGAACATGGTCGATTTGGCGAACCGACAAAGGGGGAGTCGCCTGGTGCGGGTCATCTGGTCCCACTTGCGGTTGTCATCCGTCCCTGCGGTTTTTGGGCCCCACTTACGGTTACACCTCCGAGTCGCGGGCGGCCGCAATGAAGGGGCACTCCATCTCACGCCCAAGGGACCGCTGTCGACCCTGCCTGCCTCGGTGTAGATTCACCATCCTATACACGTCTTCGTCTAGGATTATTGACACGTGGATTGATTTCCATGCGGGCGGAACGAGTCAAGTCTAGCTACAACGAAGCCAAAGGCGTTAGTATGACCACGCCAAGGTCTAAGCCGGCCAGGTGAACCGAGCGCTGAGCAGTGCACCGAAGTCACGGAGTCTACCTTCTGCACATCGAACCATGGAAGAAGTACTAGCCATTCCAGCACAAACCTCCAGAACAGCTGTCTACCTCAAAGGTTAGTTGAGAACCCGAATTCCGGAAAGCTAAACCGTACCGCCGACCAAGGATATCCCCGGCATCACCCATCACCTCGTTGAACAGAAAGCTGGAAGGCGTGCTCGCCGTGTTAACGACGTAGACGCCCGTTCGTCTTTCTCCTGCTCTCAGCGACCAGCCCGATGGCCACAAGCTAAGGGTAATGGACCTTTTGACGCTCTCTAAAACGACTAACTCTCCTGCAATTCCATCTAGTGGAGCATTCCTGGGCGACTCGCGGAGAGGGAGGTAGCTTCATTGGTCATCACCATGAACCTGACAACAAGCTTACGCCTTCACGGCATCGACCGAAGAGTCTCATCTCCTGTCGTCGGCTAGAACTTACCGTTACCCCTAGTTAGTGTTTCTTAGAGACTGTGAGGTTCCCTTTATTTCCTTGCAGTTTGGGCGGATTTCAAAAAAATCGAACTCCCCAACTTCCTCCTTGACATCAGCCCTCAGCCTCGCTTTGCTTGTCTCGTGCACTCCATTTCGTTCTCCGTCACTCATTTTCGTCCCCTTGGTTTCATCTCAAATATGAAAGTCTTGAGCATTGTGTCACTCATACCGGTGCTGCTCACCACTTTTGCATTCAGCCATCCTGGCCTGCTTGTAACCAATCAAGATGTCGCCCGAGTGAAAGCCAAGGTTGCCGCGAAAAAAGAACCGTGGATTAGTTCCTGGGACAAGCTTATCAGGCTCGAGTTTTCAAAGCGCTTCTTACACAAACAATGCCGTGGCTACTGTCAGCCGCTCTGGCAATGGGGATGCCCTCTGGCACGATGCCGCGGCCGCGTTCAACCTTGCTCTTCGCTGGAAGATATCTGGAGACAAGTTGTTTGCCACAACTGCCGCGGACATCCTGAACGCCTGGGCGGATAAGCTGCAAGCCCTCAGCGGCGGTGGAGACGACGACTATCTCACAGCTGGGCTGCAAGGTTACGAACTGGTCAACGCAGCCGAGCTATTGAAGGGCTAGGCGCCGTTTGCCGCCGATGGTTTGTCTGGTGTCACTTCCATACTGACAACCATCTTCCTGCCGATGAACGAGGATTTCCTTAACCACGTACTGGGGTCGGAGCACAACGTCAAGCACTTTTTCGCCAACTGGAAGCTCTGCAATATTGCTTCTGCCATGGCGATTGGCGTTCTAGCCGACAACCAGACCGTTTGGGACTTCGCGGTGGACTACTTCAAGAACGGAGTTTGCAACGGAGGGACCAACAACGCCATCACGAACATTGTGGAGGAGCAGGCACTAATAGGCCCCTGGGCCAGGGCCAGGAGTCCAGACGTGATCAAGGGCATTCCGCTCTCAATTTCCAGCTTCTCGAGCTCATCAGCCAGCAAGCTTAGAACCAAGGCGAGGATCTCTTCGCCTACAACGACAGTCGGATTCTCCTAGGGTGAGTTGCAGGGCCATAGCCTTCCCACACTTTCTCGTCGCCTCTTTATATGTCCTACGTACCTATGGACAGACTTGCCTAACGTTCAGTTTCTAGGGCGGAATACTTTGCCCGGTACAATCTTGGTCATGACCTCCCTTTGAACCCTACACCAACGGGATGGTGGATTTTACCGTCATCAGCCCGGCATCTTGGGGTGCCATCCGACCAACATGGGAGCTTCTGTATGCCCATTACGTCCTGATCAAGGGTCACGAGGCTCCATGGACGAGTGAATACCTTAACAACACTTGAACTTCTTTGGTGGTTTTGAAGGAGGTGCAGGCTCATAGGGGGAGGGTTCTGGCCACTACGACGGATTAGGCTGGGGCTCCCTGTTGTACCGTTTGGAGAGTTCTGACCTTAAAGGTTTGTTGAACTCTACGGCTATCGACATTTCAAACGGGATGACCGCCGCCACCACGCTTACACCATCGGCTACCCAAGCCACCGCCCATACCACCGACACGACAAAGACCGATCACGCAACCACTGGAAAGGCCGGAAAATTCTGTGCAGCTAGGAAACGCCGACACCGTAGAGAGCTCCAGCACCACATGTGGCGTGTGTAATGGGCTGGGCCCGATCGGGCCTCGGCCGGGCACTCGGCCGAGTGTTGCTCCAACCGATGGCAAACGTCAAGTAGAGCAGCCAGAGAAAAGAAGACCGCGCAGGAAGAGGGTCAGAGTAGCAGGCATCCACAGAAGCCTCGAAGGATGGCCTGCTGAAGACCTCAATCAAGCCGTGGGTCTACTAACATTAGTCTCGGGCTGAAGAAATTCATGACCGCCACCGAGGCCCATTACAACACGATCAAGAGCTAATACGGAGGACGACTTACATTGGTAAGAAAGACGTGATCAATATGTTGGCTGTCTCCTTTTCAGGTAAGATAAGGGGCGACCGGATATGCGTGGGCATGTTGATCGTAGCCTCCATGAACTTGTGTCGGCTCGGCTCCAGAGTGAAATCAATTGGACCAGTTCTCGTCTCCACAATCATTCGAATGAGTTGCAGATAGGCCAGAGAGGCTGAATCGCCGACATACACTGACTCATTTCCGTCAGCGCACACTTCATTAGAGTTGGTCAAGGGACTCTTACAAAGCCGTCCCGTGGGGTGTTGTAGTATTCTCGTGGATTGTAGCAGCGAGGGCTCCTCGTCTGGGCCAGAAACAGTGCTGCTTCCGGAGTGGTCCTCAAAGCCATGACCTCGCATAGCAAGCTCACTGTCTGGCTCAGTGGACGTGTCGGGATCAAATCCTACGCTTGGACGGTCTATGATGCTTCTATTTTTGCGGAAGGTTCCCCGCCGAACGGTCTTGAATCGGCATAGTCGGTGCCGCCGCAACACGATAAGCGCCAGCAGGCGCCAGGAGCTTGTCATGAATGTCGCAAACAGGAGTCAAAGGTTCGTGAACTGGTTCTACCTCGCATCATCTGACGTCCCGAACATAGTGCTCTGCCCACAGGCCCCAATGCCATCGGTGCCAGCAGCCCAGCAAGGAATGCGTCTAGAGCACAGCTCAGACCGAGACCCCGCGACAATCCTTCCAACGAAAACACGGCGAACTCAAGGCCCGGAACTCCGACCTTGAAGACCATTTTTACCCTCCTTCGAGACGGACATGAAACAGACGTTCATGCCGTCTTGCGTCGTATCCGTGATGGCGCGGATCTCAAATCCCTTGGGAGACACATCCCCATGCGTCGTTCAGCCTTCGCCGCCACTTTACGGGTGGGGCGGCTAGGTGGCCTGGGCGGCATAAAAAGGGTAGTACCGACGTCTGGTAGTGCTTACTCGTCCTTCCCCCTGTAGCCTTGCTAAAAAGGGTTTGGCGGCACAGGACGGCTCGTCATTCTAGGTGCTCCCAAACGCCAGCGACCAGCGATTCACCCGGCTCTTCCCTCCGTCCATCTATACCCAACGCAACCGTGCGCGCTGTCAACTAAATAATATAATGAGGACGGAGGAGCGTCTCCAAGATCTGCCCTGTGGCGTTGTGTGCCCAATATATGAGGCCTATTTACCTTGTTCCTGAGGACAATCGGGGCCAATCATGTGTCGGACCACGACCGGCTGTGCAGCCGGCTTTGAACATGGCCCTACTTGGAGGCACGGTGTTGAAGGGGTCCAGGACTTGAACGGTACTCCGTGGCATGTCGTGGACAACCAGGGCCAGGTGCAGGACGACCCACGCCAGAATTTCAGCCATTGGTCCTGTGGGTTGGGAGCATCCTCGAGCATGCTTTTGCTTCCCAGACCTGCAGCGACCTCAGAACTTGGCTGAGTCCCCGAGAGCCATGGCTTATTCTAGTAGTGTGGCTCGGATGCCTATATCAAGCCATGGGCGCCGCGAGGCTTCGCTTCTGATGGATTGACGATCCGGATTACAACTCTCCAATGCCAGTCACCACATCGGCTTGGCAGGCCCGAGACTACCAGACACGCCCGAAGCCTCCCATTCCAACTATAACGAGGCAATAACCTCAGACCCCCCTTTCTACCTTGATCAGCCGAGCATGGTGGATTACTGGGGTGGTGGAGCACTGTTGCTTGGCCAGTCGGCCGCGCCTATGCCTTCCTCGGCGCGTAACGACAAGGACAGGATTCTACCCGAAGCAGAGGCCGACGCCAGTAATACTACTTCTCGCGGCGCTTCGGCCTCCGACTACTTCGTCAATCTTGCCTTCAGGGGGGCCTCGACGGTCGCATATGGCCCATCTCACGAGACGCAACACCAGCCGTCGCAATCACATTCGTCATCCATTCAGCCAAAACACCGTGGTCGTCCTCCAAAAGGGTGGCCGGCGCAGAACAGGGAAACCATTCCAAGGACGGTCGCCCCAAGGTCCCTATTCGATCGCTACCCGCCGAATTTCTCCGTCAACCTGCCCCCTCCCCCCCAGACCGATAACCCAGCGTCCGGGTCGGACAAGAAGATGCGCCTTCGGGCCCGCAACCGTGTAGCCGCCCACAAGTCCCGTGCCCGTAAGCAGCATGGCATAGAGGACTTGCAGGCCCAAGAGTCCAACGTCGGCGCCGTCAACAAGGATCTTAAGCATCAGTACGCCAAGCTGCGCGGCGAGGTGCTCGTTCTCAAGGACATGGTTCTCCAGCATGGCGGCTGCGGATGCCCCTTCATCGAGAGCTATATCAAAGACACTGCTGTCAGCCTGTCGCAGAAGCCCAACGCCATTACGGCGACCGGCCATGGCTCCTCTAGCACTGCCATCTTGGCCGCGGCCAGTTCGTCTCCCGTCACACCGCAGGGGCAGGGCGCCTGCGGCTCGCCACTCTTCCATGTGGAGAGCGATAACGGCCTCTGCTTTGACTCGAACATGATGTGGTCCGGAATGGACTTATGCTATGACGGAGGACAAATGGAAGGCACGTCGAACAGAAACTCCTACGGGCTCTGCTGAGGGGTGAAGGGCGACCGCGTGGACAAGACGTTGCGGCCTCTTTGGGGATATTTGAGGAGTGCATCGTCTTGCTTTGAAGGGTCAAATGATGGATGAACACGTGTAATAAAGGTTTAATCGAGCTTGAATACTATGAGAGGTAACAATGGGTTGGCTTACATCTCAAATCATGGAGGCCAGCGTGTCCATCACTACCGGAGCGCGTGCCTATGATTCGGGCCCAGGGAGCTCGCTGGGGTTGATGTATTATCCCACCAGCACGTACAATACATCCACTCGCGATGTCCGGCACCGACGGACCCGAAGGCCTTTGGGCCCCGGAGCTAGATACTTTGCCCCCCAGGCTCAAGGTACTGCTACGTGGCCCAATTACGAGAGCCCGGGGCTCGGACTTCATTCCGGTAGGTTGAGTGAGGGGCTCAGGGTGTAAGCCACAGCCCCTCCTGGTCACGCGTGCTGGAGATCATCCAGATATTTCTCAGTACATGGGCTCAAGGTCTCTGGTGCTCTCGCCGCGGGGGTTGTTATGGAGGTGCCCAAGTTGCTATGGGCCAGCGGCATCTGCAGGCGTGTAAGAGGATGGCACACCTAGCATGGAGAGTAGGACGTTATTGGTTGCCTTCTCATCAAATGCATTTGTTATCTCCTCATTTTCGCCATGACGTTGTTATTAAACAGCTGACCACACTTTCGACGCTGATTCGCTGTGGTTTACGGTCGCACATTACCACATGGGTGACAAAATCCTGTACGAAAATGACCGGAGCTATTCGCACAGAGGGTTTCGGCATTTTTATATGGGGCTACAGTGTTTTGATGCGAGAATGCACTGTTTTCTTTGTAGCAGAACTGACGCCATACCAAGCAGCCTTGATGCCATTTTATCGGCTCCGAAGCTCCGATAATGCCGGTTCAGAGGGGGCGCGATATTGCAGCTGAAAGCCTTGGAAGGAGGGTTGAACTCGAACCTCTACCACGATCTCGAACCCCTGGTCTGCGTCTCGCACAATGCCTAGACCCCGGAAGGACTTGGATCGCGTCAAGGACTGGATCCTCGGGCAGCGGCGAGAACGGCTATCCATTGACACTATATGTGCCCATCTCCAAGACGATGGGCACGTACTCTACGTCAGAACCCTGAAAAGGAGGTTAGCAGAATGGGGTGCCCAGGAGTACTCTCCTCTTCGCTCAAAGATTGATCCCAACACCTTCATCGAGCTGATCAAAGGCTACTTCTACCGATACGGATATAGCGACACTTCCATCGTCCGTGATTTCAAGCGACGCGGCATCGAGATTTCCGAGCGGACTGTACAGGAGTACCGTCTGAAGCACGGCATGAAGCGACGCTTCCGAGATCCTGTTGAACGACAGGAGGCTGTTCAAATAGCCAGAGAGTTCCTCCTCCAAGGCGACCGTCAGTCTTCAAGTATCAGAGGATTTGGCAGGGGGTATCTATACCATTACGTCCGCATCCGTGCCGGCGTCCTTGTCGGCCAGAATACCTTGTATCGCGAGTACCAGACGAACCCAGAATGGAAGAAACGCGCCGAACAGAGGCGTCTTGCCGATTGGAAGCACCGGAAGAATTTCCAGGTCCCTGGGCCTAACTTCATGTGGTCTCTTGATGGGTACGAGAAGCTCAAGAACTTCTGCTTCTCCATCTACGCCTGTATCGACACGTACTCGAGAGCCATCATCTGGATATATGTCGGCAGGGGGAATATGACTGCGCTGAGTTCACTCAAACAGTTTTTACGGACTGTGTCGTACTCAGGGGTCCGCCCCCTTTTCACCCGCTCGGATCATGGTATCGAGACTCCTCTTTGGGCCGGAGCCCTGGCGATTCTCGCCGACCTTGATCAGACAGAGTTTCGGTATACCACCGAGGATAACGACCAACGAGTCCACAGGCAGGGAGCGAGACTGAGCTCCTGTCGCATCTGGGGCCCAAGCACATCGAACCAACGGATCGAGTCTTGGTGGGAAAAGCTACTCAAAGGTGTCAGTCAGCGCTGGATCGCGTTCTCGCACGAGCTGATTGATAGCGGCCTCTTCCAAACAAATCGTCTTGCTCACCAGATCGCGGTATATGCTCTCTATGGACCCATGATCCATCAAGAGGTCGCAGACTTCACGGAGATGTGGAACGGCCTTCGTATCCGGCCACAGAGGAATAGGGAGCATCTTGTCGCCGGGATCCCGATGGATCTGTACAACACGAGCCAGGTGGAGAACTGGGCAGTCCGTCTAGGGCCCGCGGCTCGAGATGGGCTTGCCCAGATGATGGCCGCTGTCGATTCTATCGATATAGACGATCTCCTTGACCCAATAACCACAGATTGGTGTGACCAACAGCTCCGGGATCTTCAGTTTGATGGTCAACTGGATGGGGAGCTTGATCATAAGCGACCACACCTCGCGGTATACCTACGGCTTAGAGACAAGATTCAGGCCCATCTCGACTCTGGGGAAAGTCCAGCGCTAAGCACGCCGGAGAGTCCAGTTGGAGGGCAAGAGAGATTCGTGCGTACAAAATCACCATTGCACCAAAGCCAGCTGACAATGCTTTAGCTTCAGCTCCTCGAGCAGAACTACCTTGAGCCTATTAACAATAGTCTCTCCGGAACTGAGCTGCCTGGCGATGTTATCAAAAGTGTGGACGAGCTGATGGGGCACCTGGGTCACCTTGAGCTAGAGTAACTACTATTTCCTCGTCTGTTTACGATGATGCCGACTGCTTGGCCTCCTCGTATCGACTCCTCGGGTTCCAGCAGCGGGACCAAGGGCAGTGAAGGCAGGGCCAGCCGAGAGCTCCTCATCCTCTGCCTCTGCCGAGAGTGCTGAGCTTACAGAGTCTCGAGCTCGTTTCCGACCCGCGCGGTGCTCGTCCATATCGCTAGTAATAACCTCGATCTGGTCTTCTGCGCTAGCTCTCGAGGGAGGTAGAACTGGGCTCAGAGAGGGGCTCAAGGAGGGCGAGTTGAACTCGCTCCGGATTAACAAGGCCGGCTCTACCTTCACCTCGGTCTTGACTACCTCTTTCTTGAATCCCTCTCCATTTTGAACGGCTTCACGGCTGACCTCGGCGTCTTGATATGACGAGGGGCTGGGGCTTGTGGTCGAGGAGACAATGGCTCATAGAAAACAAGGAAAAGAAGATACCTCCCCTCTGTTTTACTGAAACGAAAAGGGCAGTCCTCGCCGAAAAGCTGTGCGACTGTCTGTCTGTCCCAGTCGAGATCGCTCAGCTCCGTGATATCCTCTTTAATATGGGCGTTCTGAACGAGTCTCTTGTCAAATCGAAGAACAGAGGAGAGGGCAGGCTTGTCTTTGAATTGAGGGAAGAAGATGCTGTCGAACCAGAAGCGGATAGGTAGAGATGGTTCTTCGTCGACAAAGGGGCGCAAAGCGACTTTCAGCAGCTCTCTAGCCAATGACCACTGGGGCTGCTCGTCGTCGTCTATGATTTCCCATGGGCCAGGTCTCGCAAGGAAGACCGTGAGACGCATCGAGATCTTCCGTCTGCTCTTATTTTGGCTCTGTTTAGCCACAGCCTCACTGAGTTGCGACGAGCTCGCCCTCATGCCCCTCGCGATCCGACTCTGGGTAAGTTTGGCATCTCGATACACGTCGGAGGGCCGCGACGATGCGAGGATACGGCTAGGGCCGTCTCCGGAGCCGGTGAAGATCGTTTGCGACGGTGTGGAACGTTCGGAGGTTGTTAGGTCGATAGACTGTATAGCGGAAGAGGTGGAAGCTGTCTCAACCTCTCGAAACGGGACTGGCGAACCATCGAGGATGGAGATACTCGTGGGCCAACGTCTTCCGCAGTATGGACACAGATTCGAGCCCGGGTGGCTATCGCGGATGAAATCGTGACTCTTTTGGTACGGTTTAGGGGCCACGGTATTCGGAACATCGGGACATGTTTGCGGTAGGACGTGATCTGGCATATCTATGTACAAACGGTCAGTCATATAATCCCATGATAGATGGGCCTGAGCTTACTTAGGGAATAGGCGAGGATAGGCCATAATAACTGTAAGATGACGATGGTCTGGATGTGGGAGTGGAAGAATTGTGACGCCTGGCCAGGAATTATCACGACATCAACCCTGGTGGAGATGCCATCATATGAAGAGATACCTTCGGGATAGTGTGTGGTACTGTGGCCTTGCAAGGGGGCTCGAAATTACTAAGTATTTCAACATGGTTGTGGCTTCCCAAAAGGGTTATGTCACCCATGTGGTAATGTGCGACCGTAGTGGTTGCCGGCGCTAATGCTCCTGCAGCTAAAAAAGGGATGGACACCAACTCAACTTCCCTGGCCCCCTTTGGGGTTTCGATCAAAACCCCGGATCGTGGTCCGGTCTGATCAGCACAGGACAAGCCGGCAAAAAAGAAGGGAATTGATAGGGACGCATGGCTCTTCCGGACGCATGACTTTCCACACTCTCTCATTGGCCCATTCATCCTAGACCCATAAGTACTTCTTCACTCAGACAAGGTGACAAGTTCTCTTAACAATCGCCCTTTCCACACCGAGAAAGCGGAAGTAATCTAGAAATCATCTAGCCTGGCATCTTAGGTGGTATGGTTCATAGCTTTCGTTTCTATATCCCTATGGTTGATCATTTGGTATCTACTCTTTCACTATAATCTCAGGTAGGATGTCCTCGTCACTATCAAGTAGCTCCCAATGGCTTCGGGTTCGCCGAATACTCGGTTGCGTCCCCCGTCCACTGGCTCGTACTCCTGTTGTTTTACCTGACGCAAGGATAGCTTGTTGGCTACGCAGTTGGCGCTGCGTCGAGGTACCGGCCTGTCTGCCGGTTGCGTACTAATCGACTGGCTTGCTTCCTCCCTCAGCCTCGGGAGTTTGGGCGTATTTCGACTTCCGGCTGGTCGCCCTCGCTTACGCCCTATTGACTGGCATGCTGGCGTGCTGGTAGCTTGACTGGCAGATTGGCTGTTTCCCTCTATGGCTAGCGAAGAGGGAAGAGCCTGCGCTGTATTCTTAGGCCTACCGCGCAGAGCAGTGGCAATCTTCGGGTCAAGAATTCGTCGGTATGGGTCCTGAGTTGACGACTCTCGGAGCCGCCATCGCGGATGGACCTCCCACTTCTTGAAAGATGTCGCAGACCCAAGCTTGGAATAGATCTTATGGCAGCAAGGTATACCAAGCTCGAGTGAGACTGAACATTCGTCGTTACACTCTTGGAGAGGTTCCGGAAAAGGAATCCTACCCGTAGGCATCGCCTTACAAGCTATGCGATATTGTGTACCGATCAGTCTGAGACCTTTCGACGACATGACGGTCCGCAATTCGCCTAAGTACTCTGAACCAGGCCCAAGGAACCCGCGGGACGTCAGAACTTCATCTGACGCACAAGCATCCTTAAAGTCACGCTCTTGATCTTTCACCATGTCCTGCATCGCCTCGACAAGTCGGTAAAGGTGGCTCATACCGTTCAGCAGATAGCTCTTGATGTTGTTGTTACTTGCCTCTGTACCGGATGTCACACGGATGCCAAAGTTGCGGTACTTTCGGATGAAGCAGCGGGCCCATTGAGCCCTCACAGGCATGTAGGTTCCGTGGAGGTACCGCAGAATGGCACGCTGGTTATTGAACATTTTGCAAAGATCCTTCCAAGCCTTTTCGTGGGCCTTTTCGGTCTCAGCGAATAAAACGGCCTTCCACATGATAAGAACGCCTCGGTAGCTTTGAGGGATATCCTTAGCAATCAATGTGTGAATCAGCGCTCTCTCCTTGGCACCTAGCTGAACCTCCGATTGTGGTGTAGGGTCGTCCCCGTCGCTACTGTCGGGATCGCTGTTACTGGCATGATCTTTAGTCCATTTCTGCTTTGACTTCAGCAGCACGTTTGAGTTGATGTGGTGAATACAGAGCTGCTGCTGTACATCTGGAAACTGCTCGTTAAGAGCAGCCTTCATTTGACCATCAAAATCGGTGATGATTACATCCGGTTTTCGAATAGAATGCTGTGTTGAAAGCCGCTGAATACTCTGGGCGAGGAATTGGAATCCTTCCTGTCTTTCGTTGTCGATTAAACCAAATGCAGCGTTGAACACAGTGCCAAGGCAGGTTTGCCCAGTAGCCTGGAACAGGGGGAGTTTGAACCGATTTGTGTTGTACGTATTGTCGAAGCTAATGCACTCTGGAAATCGCCTCCACATCTGCAGGCAATAGGGAAAAGTCCAGACGAGACCGACAAGACGATCAGGATCGTCATCAGTCCATTTGACAATATATGGAACATGTATCTCGTCGAATAGTTTGATAAGTGCGGCGGTCGGGTTGCGACCTTGCAGCTTGTCTCGGCTGATGAGAGCCCGCGCGTTGTAGATGTCCCTCTGTGTGAGGATGGAGTCGGGATGTTGCTCTTCAAGTACGGCTCGTACATCACGAGCTCGGACACCGACCCGACGGCTTGTCGACTCAATAGTTGCCTTCATAGGCGTGGTAAGTCGTCGATGGGCAGGATGAGCTGAAGGTTTCAGGCTACGTCCATGGTTGTGTTAACCGTGTTCGGGATTTGCATGCTCTCGGAGTAGCCACCTACCCTCCTCTAGAGCTTCCGCAATGACCATCCACTTGCACCCACACTTTCGAGACTTTCGTTGACGTAGACCTGCGCCCCGACTGGGTTTTGGATCCCCAAACCGATCGCAACGCAAAGTGTAACGTATCCTTCGTCCCTTGTACGAGTATCCGTTGTACTTGGTGACACCAAAACCGTTTGCTTTCGCGAAGGCGTTGGCAGACTCGATGAGTGCTTCGAACGTCGGGAAAGGATCACCTGGGATTGGCGGGTGAGGGATTGTCTCTAGTGTTGGCGACATGGATTGTGCGGAAGATCGGACGGTATGGGAGGTTGATACCGCGTTGGTAGACCGTGAAGACAGCGCATGTGGTGGAGTATACGGGGGAGGAGAATCGTAGGCATCCGAACTGAGTGGTGACCAGCTCCATTTCTCACGCCACGCGCGCACTCGTTCGTACGACTGGGCAAGGCCAACAGTGAGTCTTCGACCTTCCCCAATAACTTCGCGTACTAACTTGATGGCGGATACAAACTCGGCCCTCGTTGCGGAGGGAGGTGGCTGGGCAGACTGTGGTGGAGAGAACGAAGGCGGAGGGTCATGTTCAGGGCCTGGCACAGGTACCCTTACTCTCTGCATTCGTGATCGTCCGGATGGGAAGTCGTTCTGGAGAAATATTTCGCGATCGTATCGTAGGTCTAATGCAGGCTCGTCAAGGCCCTGTGAGCCGTGGGGCCGTGGAAAGGTTGAGAACGTCTGTGGGTAGGAAGCAAAGATGTTGTCGAGCGCGTGCTCATCGCCGATGCCGTAATGCTTGCCGATGCTTGTTGATACACTACTGGCAGAGGGTGGCCTGCTGGCGGTAGCAGGAGGAGACATGTTGACATGTTGGCTTGTTCGCTGTCGCTTTTCGCGATGCAATTGGCCACTGGGACTAGAACTTCGCGGTCTGCGAAGCCCTATGCGCCCTTTGGCTTGTGACGGTTCTTGGAAAGACAGGGTGGTGGTCATGGACGCTGTGAGATCACAGAAGGCGACGCGACCGCGTCTCTAACGACATGGACGTTTTTCTCCCTTCAGTTGGTTGGAATCAAGGGAGACTGGCCCGGTACTTCATAAGCCGTTGGCAGAGCCAGCATGCACTAACAAACTGGCACCCTAGCCAATCAGAGGGCAGCAATGTCATGCGTCCGGAAGAGCCATGCGTCCCTATCTATTCCCTTTTCTTTTTGCCTGACGAAAGGGTGGGGTTGTCGAAAGGGTGGTGGGGTATGGTAATACTCCGAAGGGCAAAGTCAAGCAGTCAAGTTGAATCAAGCAAGTCAAGTTCAAGCAAGTTGGACTCATGAGGAAGCAAGCAAGTCAAGTTGAACCCTTCAACTTGACTTGTTTGACTTGACGGCAGCCCTGGGTATCAGTGTTTCGACAGGTTGGAACGGTTGGCTGGGTTTATACCGGGACGTGCGATAATCGTTACGGAGGTATATGTCTGATTTTCGCCACTGAACACCCGGAACATCCTTACCCTAATCGTGAAGTCCAGGAAGGAAGGGGAAATGGTGGGGAAGCCATCATGCAGGCACTCCGCCCACTCTTTCCGTGTCATATTGACATAATTCGAGGCACGTAGTTGAATTGCCCGACGACTGGTCTGAGTGGCTCGACGAAGGTCGTGATTATGTGCGGCTAGACAGATTGGTCGGGCTGATCGGACTTCTGCGGCGACTTATGTTGGCGGTATGAATATCTGATGAAGGCATTGTAGAGCTTCGAGGTATATGCATTCCTCAGGGGAAGGATAAATGCCAATAGAGATCGCCTTGCATTGACGTGACGCGAATTAGATTTGGTGGCCAGCTGGCAGCAGCGCGGCAGAATCTGGTACGTACCGATGCACTAACAGACCCGATTTAGGCCAATGGGAGGGTGTAAAAAGTGCGGCACCCGTCAGCTTGCGGTACCTGTATGAAAATGGTGTGGCACCCCTATCAATTGCCTCCGCTAATGCTGCTGGGTGGAGGAGCGCAGGTGAGACGCATGTTCTTCCCGCATTGTGTCATGGTGATGCAATTCCAAGCCATGTTGATAATTCTACACGGCCTGGCGTCGGAAAGATTAAATACTCAAGGGGAGTTCCATCACGCTACCTGACTCTTTCTTACCAGGTAATGAGCATCCAAGAATTATGAAAATGAAGATTCACTCCCTTCGAGCCTTAGGGCATATGCTAAGGCCGTCAGCGGCGACCCTGTTCACAAGTACACTGCCATCCAGAACCTTCATCGCGCCCACTCGTCACCAATCAGCCCAGAAGCCTACTCCCATGATTGAGGATGATGAGCAAGGCTTCGGCTTCATCCGCCACAATCCCAGGGCCCCAAAGCCACGGACGACCTCCGTCACCGAGATTCGAGGCCCATACTATTCCGCCATGGGCACCAACTACTTGAGAGATCTGCTCGACACGTACGTAAGCCAGACACAAGGGAGTTCTATCACAGAGGATGAACTGAAAGAATATAGGATGGGACACCATATTGACGGCCTGAAATTTGCTGGCGGGTCTTTCTCCCTTTTCCCGGAAGAGAAGCTGAGGGAACTCATCAATCTCGCCCACCATCACGATGTCTACGTCTCGACAGTGAGTTTACGTCCCCTCTTTTCCGTTCCATCTTGGTTCTTGAACTAATCGGCCATCTCCAGGGTGGCTGGATCGAGCACATCCTGACCCAGTCCAATTCTGCCGGTTCCGTCGAGAGATACATTGAGGTCATCAAACGGCTTGGTTTCGACGTAGTTGAACTGTCCACCGGCTTTATCTCATTGCCATCAGATGACTGGCTGCGCTTAGTCGACAAAGTTCATGCCGCAGGCTTAATTGCCAAACCAGAGATCGGCATCCAGTTCGGTGCAGGCGGCGACACAGAGAGTTCTGACCTAGTGAGCTTGGGGCAGTCAGACCCATCCAAGATGGTAGATATGGGAAAGAGGTTCCTTTCTGCTGGCGTGAAGCGACTAATGATAGAAAGCGAAGGCATTACAGAGAATGTGTCAAGTTGGCGGACAGATGTGGTCCAGCAGATACAACGGGAACTGCCGATGGAGAACACCATGTACGAGGCGGCGGAGCCGAAAGTGTTCAATTGGTATGTGAGAGAGTTCGGAATGGATGTAAACCTCTTTGTGGACCATTCCCAGATCGTGCAGCTCAGCGGACTCAGGGCCGGTATCTGGGGAATGGCGGACACGTTTGGAAAGGTCGTTTCCTTCCGGTGAAGGGCGTCTCCTATCGTGGGTGCTTTTACGGCCCCCCAGAGTGCAACGGGAAAGACTGGCTCAGAGAACCAACAACAAAATTGCATGTCTCGACAATGTAGAATATTATAAGCTTCTCGGGAGATAAGACGGGTTTCCTGAGTTCCCATACGCGTCGTGAAACCGCCTCCGAGTCTACTTCTTCGAGTAACATACGAAGGCGCCGTAGATATTCAACTCAGGTGTCATAATTCCTGAGTGGCTTATCTTGCTGCTCCCTCAGCTGATCGATGATTCTGCAGACATCTGGCAGATGTACGGCCCTTTCCAGGGCTATCCTCGATATATTGTAACGGGTAATTTATTATGACTGGAAAAACTGACTGTTCCTGCTTATTCTAGGAGTTTGGGTTCTGCTCAGCCTTAAATAACGTTAGGTATCGTCTCAGAGTTAACCTCGATCCGGCAGTTAAGATTGTCCTCCGGATCCGGCCGTCCAAGGTCCCGCACCAGGAGTTGGCTGACGGAAACCGGAGCCGCCTGACAGGATGTGATCCAGAGAAGCTTGGCATGCCGCTCCACTTGAATTCAGTTCCATACATGTAGGTGCAAATCCGTTGCACCTAGAATGACGAGATCCTTGAATCTTCGGCATCAGCATGACGACACATGACGTCAATGATCCCAAATCTAACTTTAGTCATCATGTCGTCATGTCGTCACGATTAACGACATGAGACGGCTCAATTAACCGCGAGAAAATTGAATGTTATATATACATGCAGAGGGCCAGTACTGCTCAACCGCCCGATTGCTCGAAATAACGCAATTTATGGCCGTCAATCAATCAATTTCTGTGACCCAAGACCAACTGACAAAATGTCCCCGCAAGTCCAAGATAAGAACTCGGAAACAATTAAAGTGGGAGATCATGTGTGGACTCCCTTTCGAGGCGGCAAGCGCGAAGGTGAAGTGGAAAGAGTGGATGTGACGGAACAAGATGCTCAGCAAGCAGGAGTAAAGAATCCACCAAAGGTGAGTTCGGCGCTTACATCTCATAACTTTGCCGTCTTGTTTGACATGCTAACCTTCGCAGGTTACATTCAGTGATCAGCACGGACATAAGGTCTCGCACAATCCCGAAACTTTGCAACACACGAAGTAGCATCAGAAAAGACTACATGGAATAGTAGCCGTTCCATCTTTAGCAATCAGCATGAATAGACCACGGTTGCCCTGCGCTGTTGGGCCTGCGACCCACGCGGTGAAGTTGTCGACGAAGGGTATCGCACCTCCATAGCAGTCTATCTTCCGCTGTATAAGGTCAGCATTGAAGAATAGGAATGGAACCAGGGATAGAGGGGAGCCTTGTGGCTGGCCGACTTGAGGCAGACTCCGGGACTCTAACGTTTGACCGTTGCCTGAATCGTCGCCGTCCAACTCGACGCTGTTTCATCCGCAGGTAACGTCCCTCACCCACTTATGGGCCGCTCCCATTTGGGCCAAGTATTCCCTTAGTAAATGCCAATTTCCACCCACCCAGATCTCTACAACAACAGTGTAAATAACCTGTAAAACAATAAACTATTCTCAATAGTAACGTAGGTGCATAGCGGGTGACGCAACATAGCGAATGACGCACTTTCACGGCACTTTCACCCTACAAACCCATATAACATCAACTACAACGCCCAGAATGAATTAAAACTACTCATCATCGTCCTCTTCAGACGATCATATGACTACCTGACAGGTTCTAGCGTTGTGACCGGGCTTACCGCACACGCCACACTGCCGTCTCTTTGTTTCCGTCCTCGGTCGACGAGGACAATTCTCCTGCGTTTCCTGCTTTACCTGCGTATCTACGTCGCTCTGAGCTTTTAAGTCCTGTCCCTGGCCTACAGTGAGACTTCCTCCTTGCCGTAGACGTGTCTTTTTAGCTCTCCGTCGTCGGCTTAGTAGAGCATTCTCTTCTCGAAGCATTTGGTTCTCTGACATCAGAAGAGCCAATATATGCATTAAGTTAATTGACATTCTCGAGACATCGACTCGTCCTCCGCCAAATCAAAATCTGAACAAACACCAAAATGAAATTCCTCTGTTTACACCGCGCTTTCGGGAGTGGAAAGGTTCGTGCCCAAGGCCCGAAGTCCTGCCCAAGGCTCGAAGCATACTTGGGCATTGTAGAGGGAGCTCTACCCACTCTATCTGGTAGGGTAGAGGAGGTATCTACTCTACTCTACCTGGGTAGAGTAGAGTAGAAGCGGGTAGAGCTACTCACTCTACCTACTCCTGATTGGTCAATTAGATCTTATCATTTGATAAGATGGTGAGATTGTGGATGCCGAAGTCCTCGAGGAGTCGTTTAACTTTATTGATTCTGCTCAGTATTTTGTGGTGACCTCTCACGTGAGTTCAGATGCTACCGAACATGCTGCCTGCTACGGCCTGCACTAGCTCGGCTACTGCCTACCTGCAGCCTACTTGACAGTACGTTGAATAGTTCACTCCTTTGCATATATATGTAGCTAGACACATTTATTCGATCTGGCAGAAGGAATACGCGCATCTCCCTCATGAATCACTCCCTGTTGCTGCTGCTGCTGCTGCTAATATCGATACGTCTCATCCATCCTCGAAGAAGAGGGTAGAGAATGAATTAGACCGGCTGAAACGTCGTCTAAGAGTTCAACCTACTTCGCAAGAGGATGAAGATACGTTTATGGCGTTTATTGAAGATAAAACTATCCATCTCGATGCATCCATCTCGATGCTCTAATGATAACGCCTCTTCAGTGGTGGTTGGTTCCAGAGCAGCGCCGGCGCTATCCTCGTCTCCACCGTATGCCCATCAATATCCTCTCAGTCGCACCGCCGTCCGCTGAACCAGAACAACAATTCTTGGGCGCACGCCGTACACAGAGCTGGGATAGGCTTAGGTTATCGCCAGAGACCCTCCAGAGGTTAGAGTGCATGGGCAACTGGTTTGCGAGGAAGCTCATCTCTTCGGAGGAGCTGCTAGCGACGATTGTAGAGGTTGTGGAGATGGATGATGAGATGGATATTGATTTCGATGAGGAGGATTGGGATGTATAATATAAAGCAGTATACTTCGAAGAATTGAGCATATATACAGCATCTACCTTCCCTACGTACCCTGTCGTCTACCCTCTAATCTACCCACTCTACCCGGGTAGGGTAGAGGAGACCACTCCTCTACCTGGGTAGGGTAGAGAACTGGGTAGAGCTCCCTCTAGTCTACAATGCCCAAGTATGGCGGGAGGTTTCTAGTGATTTCCCCTGCTCGTTTGCGTAGTGTTGTACTCAGCTATTTGGTGGCAACCACAGGCTGGCTCTTGCTGTGAGTAGAAGACGTAAGACGCCGCACAGGCATTCCTCTATCATGGATGCAACAACGCTGACTACTTTGCATCGTCTACCGTATCGCATTCTTTCGGTTCAATAGATAAAGATGGCATTTGCCCTCGGGCGAATCCCCGGGGTATCTTTTAAACAGGGTAGATGTGCCACCCATTTACAGGTAAGAAGAGCTTCCCTGAAACCATTACCATACCAGCGCCGGATAGAAGCTCCAAGATCGCCTCGTAAAACAAAAGATATCCCGCCTGCAGGAGAGACGGTAAAACCCTCCTAACTATACTTCCTGGGGCCGTTCCGTCCAGTCAACATGGTCCGGTACATCCAGACCCCGATAAATCTCATTGTGCGTGGTCAACAGGCCCTCCACCTATCCGCCTTCGTGAAAGTTTATAAATCCTCCCATCATGTCCCAGTCGAAGTGCGAGGCGTTGCTGGTCTCGTCCTCCAAAGGGGTGAAGCCAGGCGAGCCAGGTACTCGAGGGGTGGTAAGAGACCAGCTGGAGCCGGGTGAGATGGCGCTGCTAGAGGATCCGTGGCGGCTCGTCGTGAAGCTGTCGGGCTTCTGCGTCAAACTGGCGGCGGCATTTTCGAGGTAGCTCTCGATGAAGGAGCAGCCGCAACCGCCGTGCTGGAGGACCATGTTCTTGAGCAAAAGGATCTCGTCGCGGAGCTCGGCGTACTGGTCCTTGAGGCTTTGGTTGACAGCACCGATGGCGGCCTCCTGGGTCTGCAGATCCTGGATGCCGCGCTGCTTGCGAATACGGCACTTGTGCGCGGCCTCGCGGTTACGAGCTCGGAGGCGTGTTTTCTTTTCGGAGTGGGAGGAAGGATTGTTGGATTGAGCGGAGAGCGAAGAGTCGATGGAAGAGGCTGAAAGGCGACGGTTGGTTAGGTCATTTGGAACTACCGTCTTGAAGACAGTTGATCCGGGTTTTTGGGCGGACGAGGCCTTCGGAGGGCGGCCTCGACGTTTTGGTTGAGTAGATAAGGCTTCAGCCGGAAGGTACTCTTGCTGCGGTTGGCGAACCTTGTCCAATCCACCATCATGAACGATGGGTTGCCCGTCAGAAATAATCCTGAAGGAAAAGGGGTTAGGGGCGCCACGCGGTATGGCGTTGATGTTGTTATTAGGGCGGGCCCCTGCCTTCGCAACCGGCAAACTCCTGGTCCTGCCTTTGCGTGTCGAGGGGGCCATTGCGGCGGCTGACTGCGCGAGTAGTAGGGTGTCTCCACCAGACTCGTCCATAATTTCCCTGCGCAACGGATGCTGACCAAGCCCAGACACCTCGGACGAGGAAACTCGAGATAAAGAGGGGGAGAAGGGCCAAGGAAGCCCTCTGTGCTCAATATGAGGAATAGTGTTGCCTGTCGAGCTCTTGATAGTGATGATGAGGTTGTTGTGATTATCGCCTGATGATCGAGGCAAGGCGGGAGGGGCCGTTGTTGTGGTGAGGGACAGTACAGCTTAGGTCTCGGGCCTTCGGGTGCTGCGGCAATAGCAAACACAGTCTTTGGGTTAAAGATGGCAATTGGGCTTTGTGATGGAATGGACAACAGAGATTGTCGTACGTGACAGGGTGCCGTGGGTGCATGCGGCCTCATATAGGCCTTCGAGCCGCAAGACCAGGATACGCCATCCCCGGGAGCCGGGCAACCTCAGTACTAAGAAGCGGGGATGGAGGCGAAAACAGAAAGCGGCATAGGATAAGATGGGAAAGGCAACAGATGCATCCCGCCTGGGAGAACAGGAAAGTCCCATACAATGAAGGCATGGGAAAACTGGGTATGCTTGACCAACGGGCTGAAGTGACCTGGAAAACCACGAGGCAGGTCAAGCCACCGGCACTTTCAAGTACTTGAGCCCCCGTTCCGATACTATTCGATGAACATCAGGCACAGCCCCAAGCAGAGCCCTAGGCCAGGAGGAAATTGTCCGGGATGCCCATCAGGCGGATAGCCCCACGTTCAGGGCCGGGGAATCATCCCGTACTAGCATTGACCAATGGACAGCAGCATTGCCGTCGCCTGGAGATCTTTATGCAGTCATGCCCAATCATGCGCTCAGGGCCCACTCCGCACATCTCCATTCGAGATGTGGTTTCTGATTGGCAGATGAAGTCGGGACGAGACATTATCGACGACCCCAGAACGGCTTGGGTGACACCAGTCAACAATGTAGGCAACGATCTCCGGCTTGCGATACCCGTAGATGCTTTACTGGCTGCCATTCGCCCAATACGACCCTACCCCCTCATGTTCCCTCTCAAAACATTTGTGAGCCCCAAACTGTACCCTCGCTTGTTGAACAAAGTCCCAACGAGATGTTACGTATGTCAACCAAATGGAGTACACTCCGTCCCAACCAATCATACACGGCCGCACTTCCTTCCGGCGCAACCAGTCGTCACAGTCAGATAATATCGATGGAACGAGCAGTGCCCACGCCAATAGCATCGATTCATGATCATTCATTGGTCCGCATCCATCGTAGCATCGCGATCACAGAATATGACAGTATCAATGAACGCCGCCTTGCACGGAGGATAATCGGTTCTCCACGGCTTGGACCTCGCCGTCTCGGAGCTTGCTTTGCGACCCGGGTTTGCGCGCGGAAATGCGCCGATTCAATGTCAAGGAGTAAGTGACACAGCCGACGTCAAAACACAAGACGCCTCTCTCATATGCAAGTTGATCGCTGCTTAATACATCTATGTGGCACCTGGCTTGCCGTCTTCGTCTCGTATTCTTGGGGGAACAAGGAGTCGGTGGTGTCGCATACGCGGGAGCATTTCGTAATTTCCGAGCCGGAGCCGGAACGAGAGCCGGAGCCGTGAATGTAATTTGAAACGAACAGAAGATCATATTCCTGCAGTGGTTTTATAGATCTTCGTCTAAGCTCTGGAAAGCCTGTTCAGAACGGCTTCGATGGACTCTGTCGGCTGGTGGTCCACCTCAGTCGTATCGGCCCATGAGTCTAGCCACGGCCAATTGCGGAAAGTCTGGCGGCTCCTCGTGAGGGAACGACCACGTGACTTTTATACTTTATGAATAGTGTCATTTTATGAAGACTGTACAAATAGCTTTAGTGAGAGTTTTCCTTACGAAGCTCTCCCTTTCTCCTTCCCTCCTCGTAAACAATCGTTTTGCCCAAGTCGCACCCGACCTCGTTTTCGTGCCCTTGTCCCGTCACACTCTTTTGTGTGCTTAAACAGTTTCAAGCCATGCAAGAGGCGCTAACGTTGAAGGACGCAAGCCTTTCGCGCCTTCAGGGAGAAACTCGGTCCTTTATCACAAACTACAATAGGCAATAGAAGCATGCAAAGTGAGGGAGTAAGGAGCTCTTGGTTATAGATTGATCTGAACAAGAAGGAGAACGTAATATGCTCACTGAGAGAGCAGATGAGAGCTCAAAGGGCCAGCATCCGAGCCCATATCCGTTCCATATGTTCATCGGAAGTTCCTTGAAGTATGTACTGTTAGCAGGTGTTTTCTAGACTAACGTACATAACGGGTGAGTGGACCACACGGGCGAGTGGACTACCTCAACCAACTTTCACTCACGATCATTCGACCAACAACTCAACAATCACTCAGCTAATTCAATAGAAATTAATTATCGCTATCCTCTGACTCTGAGAGAACTAGCTGACAAGTTCTTGCGTTGTGACCGGTCTTTCCGCAGACGCCACAGCAGCGTTTCTTCGGAGCCGACCGTGTCGACACACTTAGATTTTGTAGCGTTTCCTCCATCATCTGCGAATCTACCTCTCTCTGGATCTTCTAGCCTAGTCCTTCGCCTTGCGTCATGCTCCCTCCATGCCGGAGACGTACTTTTTTGAATCTGCGATGCCGGCTTAGTACTGCATTTTCCTCTTGAAGATGATTGACCTCCTTCCCCATCAGGGTATAGTGACGCATAATCGCTTGCGCCCCCTTCGTAAACTGGTCGACAGCTTCAAGTATTGAGGTTGGAGAGCTTCCCTGGTGACGGGAGATTCGATTTTAAACGAAATCAGACTGTGAAGAGGCCTCTTTGGTGGTTGTTGGGGTCCGAGTTATCCAAGGTTCCAGCCCGCCATGCGATGACGGAGGCGTCGGCGTCTTTAAGCTCACATCCAGCTTCGAGAGAACTGCTTCTGGATTGAAAGGCATAATTCCAGCCCCTCGAAAACCTCCCTGTACGTTTTTTTCGGTCATTGCATCTCGATAAGCTGCCAAAAACGCAGGGAGAAAGTCCTCCTTACTTATGTGCGATGTACCGGCCCTCATCTTATTCTCGATTTGTCGACCGTACGCCTTCTTGAGCGGGCCAAAACAGCCAACATTGAGAGGCTGGAGTAAGTGTGATGAATGAGGGGGCATTCGAAGTGTAAGGATCTTGTTCGCGAGGGTATATTGTCGGAATGGCTCAGAGACGTGACTTTCGTGGCCATCGAGGATGAGAATGCGATATCCAGCGGAAGTTCGACCTTTCGTATGCTGACCGAAATGCTTAAGCCATTCTAGGCCAATTTCATTTGTTGTCCAGCCGTTTGGAGACATTGCGACCTTCCAGTCGCGTGGAATCACGTCATCTTCATACTAACTTGAGAGGTGATATTTGCCGGAAAATACGACGAACGGGGGGACGCAGAATCCGTTTGCGCCAACGCCTTGAATAACTGTAACCCATTCCCGATTTCCTGGCTGCTTCTTCTTTACACTGGAGCGCTTTTCGGAGCTTGCAACGACGATTCCGCTATGTATAACGCCCATCTGGAAGCCAGTCTCGTCGAAGTTGTAGATATCGGTATCCGCGACACCGTATTTCGCGATTGTATCGCGTACATCCCGAAACCACGCGTTTATAGCGACTGGATCTTCGCAAAGGGCTCTGTTGGAACATCGCGGCCAAGGTACATGCGGCAGTGGTATGTGCTCCCACCTGGGAGCGATAAGCCTTGTCGGCACGTGGGTCACAGGACGTAAGGCCCATCTTGGCGGCCATCTGCGCGTCTGTTAGTTAGAAGATACAACACCAGATCCACCATTATGAAGCCTGAATACAGTACCATTTCGGCTTCACCAGTGGTTCGAACCCTACCCTTGTGAAACCTACAGTTACACGCTTCCTACAGCGTCATGGATATCAGAAAAAAGTCAAAAGCAACTCCATGCTGATCGCCACGCGTCTGAAGACCTTGAACGGGTACAGAAATACTTCGACCAGCTACAACAGACGATCCAGGAGCAAGGTATCCCTCCAGAGTGTATCTGGAATATGAATGAGACTGGGTTCCGGATTGGTATCGGCAAGGACCAACTGATTGTTACCAAACGCTCCAGAGCCCACTTCTTCGCTATCCCAGAAAACAGGGAGTCTGCAACAGCAATCGAGGCTGCATCAGCCGCAGGCAATGTGATCCCAGTCTTCTTGATCTTGGCTAGACAGGTCCCTATGTTCCAGTGGTATCAGGTCCCTGAACTGGATCCAGAGACTGCTATCCATATGTCACAGACTGGATATTCCAACGACCAGATTAGCCTCGAATGGGTTAAGCATTTTGAACGGCACTCGGCAAAGACATCTATCGGCTCAAAGAGACTCCTCCTCCTTGACGGACATGGGTCCCATCACACGAAGGAATTCATCCAGTACTGCGACGATCACCAGATTATCCCATTTGGGCTACCTCCCCATCTAACCCATCTCCTCCAACCGCTTGATGTCGTTGTTTTTCAACCACTTAAGCACTACCACGCGAAGGCCCTGGACGTAATGGTCCGGGATGGGTTGACGAATATCTCGAAGATTGAATTCCTTGCCTGTATCCAGGGCGTGCGGACGCAAGCTTTTAAGAAGTCCACAATCCTCTCTGCATTCAAGAAGACAGGGATCTATCCATTTAACCCACTTCCCATCCTTCAGCAACTCCAGGAGCGCCAGGCCCAGCGGACACCAACACCACCGCCTTCAAGTCAGGGCTCTTCATCAAAATTCAGTACGCCAGTCACACTCCGCCAGATCCACAAGGTGGCCTCCAAGGTTACAGAGGGCCTACAAGAAGAAGAGGCTCTTGACCGGTCTACGGTCGCAAATATCGACCGCTTCATGAAGGGGGCTATTTCCCTAGCTACAGAGCTTATTCAGACAAAACGGGACCTTGCGCGTACGAGATATGCGGAGCAACTTGCCCGACAACGTAGAGCAGGGAAGAATACCCAACTACGGACTGGAGGGGTATTAACAGTTGATCAGGGTCGCCGGATGGTCCAGCAACGGGGTGAAGACGAGCTGGCAAAGGCCCAACGTATCGTCGAGGCAGCCCAAGTAAAGGAGCGTACAGCCCGGAAAAAGTACTTTGAAGCAGCAGCAAAAACAGCTCGACATTGGAGGCTCAAGGGACGCCTAGGGGAGTCGAAGTGATTGATCTAGATGGTCGTACGCGGTGGTTATTACGTGGCTTCTAGAGGGCGGTCCAAAAAGTGGTGTTTCTACTGTCCTGGTGTTTTTACTGTCCAGCACCAGCTTAGGGGCTGGGGAGGAACGAGACTGGGAATAAGTGGGGCGTGGCACGGGTAGCTAGAGAATGAATGCATCAAATGAGGATTCTGCAGGCCCACAGATGTAAGTACCCCTGGTCCGCAGAAAGGACAGTCTTCTTTTTTGTACCTTAACAAGAAAAAAATCCACATTGTTCAATTCAGTGGTGACAGTTGCGTTGATCGCCACCCTGGAACTCGCGCTATCATCGGATGTCGCAGCGGGAAAGCAGTGCAGCTAGGGCTTCGTCCCGGGATCTGTGGTCATTCTACGGGGACGAGCTGACAATCTGAAGCTCGCCGTGAGGATTCTCGGCCCGAAAGGGCCAAAACCCTCACACATAACCGCGTGGGACTCGTCTTATGGCGCGGTGCTCAACAGAGGCGGCTTCACAGTTATCCTACTTGGAACGTAACATCTAAGTAGATATCTACTTCTCATCGAAGCACCTCTTAGCTGCAGCACTGATGACATCCGCGACAGACTTCCCATCGGCCTTCAAGTTATAGGTGCAATGTCCTCCATTCTGCAGCGAAATTGTGACCATGAGAGTCCCGTCTTCGTTCGCATCATACGTATAGGTATAACCATTTGACCATTGCTCTCTGTCGCCTTGTACGTCATCAGGCTTGACAGTTGATGAGCCTTTGCCGCGGCATCTCGGGTTACCGCCGCCGATCACACTGCTGACGACGCAGGCAGCGCCGTCAAAGATGTTGCTGACAAGGTTGTCCCCTTGGCCGAAGACGCCGCTCTGGCCGAATAGTTGCCTTGCATGGAGACCAGGGCCGACCTGACTTCCGGTCTATGTTGAATGTGTGTTAGTCAGCTTTCGAGGTCAGGATGGGACTGGCATCGAAACGAGCTTCCCCAATTAGGGCGTCGCTGAGCCGTGCACCTACCAGGGATGTAAGAACGGCCGATGTGACACTAGAGAGGCCAACGATTATGGCAGGAAGAGTAAAGGACCTCATAATATCGAGTTGGAAGCTTGTGGGTGACTTGTGGTGAACGCGAAGTAGATTGCAGTCGCGTCCCTTTCGTCGATGGGTGCGAAGTCTACCCCTTAAATAATACGTTTCCCCATTTGTCGACGAAGTCATATCCGCGCTCACTTGGCAGCTGTATGCTATGTCTCACAAATACGGGAATCTAATATTTGGTAGGTTGAGTGAGACGTTCCACCGATAAAAGCCCGAGCTGCAACGCACGGATGGGACCTTGCACCGCGATCACATTCCATCTTGAACATCTCCGTGCCAAGGTAGAACTGCATACCCGGCCGACTTTCTCCCCTCAATATCGGCGCTGAAATGTCGGTGCATGGCGAAAAGGGGAGCAATAAGGGGCACCTCGGTGGGATATTTAAGCATTCCCACTCGAAGCAGGTAAGAAGACCACACCACGAACACGTCTTAAGCCCGGCAAAAGAAAGCCAATCATTGTCATTCTGTTAAATCGTCATTAGTAGGGCTGAATCAAGAAAGAAAACTGGTCTCTGACTCAGTGCCGACTAGAGTCTCTGGTATCCTCTGGGGGTAATCCTGGGTTCATCCAGCTGAGCCCATGCTGGCCAACCATCGCTTGGATTGGCACGCCCGTGATCGGCTGGCTCCTTTCGGACCTTCTCTTGGTAATTCCAACGCTTCAGCTCAATGTAACGCCTCAGCAGCCGCTGAATCTCCACGACATATCAGCTGGGTGATCCACGACCTTCCGCATGCCACCTAGCCTCCCAACTGGCTGAGCCCTGATGAACGCGTTCCGTCTACTGAGTACAAGCTAGCTAGACGTATAAGACGTTGCTTCAATACCGCGGTCGCCTGGGGAAGTATTGTGCGGGACTGCCCCAGGACAAGTCACCGCTGACGGGCTATTTCTCCATGCTAGAAGCTTGCCCTGGGATTCATCCAAGACTGCTGTCGGACACCCTCAGTTCCACCATCACCGCCACGCCGATACGACGTCTGCATCCCGTGTCACGCCCACCGATGGCTTCCCTCGGTCGTAATCCTGGATTCATTACCCACGATTCATAGGCAACGGCACTTCGTCTCTGCATCAGCCTGTTCTATTCAATTGAAACAGAACGAGTTTCCAGCCGCCACCCCAAGGAGATTGCCGTCTTCGCCGCCTCCTCTCGCATCAGGGGCCGGAAAACAGACCCTTGCCAAGACCCCGCCTCCCACCAGCACAGTGGAGTTACGCTACAGCAACTATGCCTCTACCAGCTACGCACTGTTGAGGGCAAAACAATAAGTGAACTGAATCTGTCGTCATCAACACATGCTGGCCATGTGACTATAAGGTTACATAAAACCGCGTCGAAGGGAGTATCACCAGACACATCCTGATCAAGCGTCCTCCTTTGCACTAACCGCCTCTACCGCAAGACCAGTATACAGCCGCCGACTTGCTCCTGGTAAACCTCTAAGGTATCACCGTCCGCCATCTCAAGCTGTCACCAGACTCATTAGCCCCAAGAGTTCGAGAGGAGTGTATCCACATAGTCCAGCGCACGGATCTAAGGGATATAAGGAACTCTTACCGCGCCGGGGGTATCTGTTGGCTGGACGCGTTGGCCTTCGAAAACAAAGCGAACGGTTGACAAGGCTTTGCCTTGGCGGTCACAGAAGGCATTCATCAGCTTCTCGAGCTTGGTTGAGTGCTTGATCTTGAAGAAGACGTCATTGTTGTTATCGGTAACTTTAATGTTCAAATGCTCTGACTTGCCGTTGTCTCCGCGAGAGCCGCCCGGGGGCGCGTTACCCTTCTCTTGTTCCGCGGACATCGTTGGAGTAGGAGAAGTCGGGCCTATAGAAATGGCTGGTCGGTGGCTGCGATCTGAAGAGGTTCGGGAGCGAGATAAATAGTCCGCGGAAGGGGGAAAGACCTAGCCTTGGCAACCCCCGAAAGTTCGAGAGCGTAGTAGTAGTGATCCGAGGCCGGGGGAGGAGAGAAAGTGTGATGTGACTAGAAAAACGAAGCGGCGGGGCGGTGCGGCACCGGCAGAGTGGATCGCGTGGGCGCCCCACCTTCAGCCATGGCGGCTGAACGCGACACGGTCAATGTCGCGTCTGAAGGAGATGAGACAGTCGTGCAGAAGCAGCGCCTCCGTCGAACCCGCAAACCAACCAACAAAGTCATCGAGAGCCAAGAGAACGATGATGCAACTGAAGGAGAAACAGATGTGGCAAAGGCAGCCGGCGGCGGGCGCACCAAACGAACGACGGTCCGTGGAAGTGCCCCACCAGCGAAGGTCGGATGGTTGGACAGCAACTCGACGCTCGAAGCCTTGCAAGAACAGATGAAAGAGCACAATGGGCTCCTCAAGACCGCCCTTGTGGCGGGGCAGGCGCAGATTGCCATTTACGAGTCCATGCGCGAAGACAACCGTCTACTCAAGCACGAGCCACGAGCAGTCAGCGACGAGCTACGGAAAGTCAAGGACGAGCTTGTCGCAGCTAAGACGGAGAGCGGCGCGATCAAAGACGAGATCGGCACGATCAGAGCCGACTTGCGAACGATCGAGGCAAAAGGGGTGGAAGAGGCTCAAAGGATGCAGGAGAGACTCGACGCCGTCATGGCGGTCGTTTCGGGACAGAGCAGCCCGAACCCATCGTACGCCGAGGTCGCGCGCACGCCGCCGACGAGCCAACCGACCAACATACGGACCTTCTCCTCGATGAACACCACGCCTTCAACCTTCACCGACACCCTCTTCTGCACGGTTGACACATCTCGAGTGGAGGAAGCGGACAGGAGCAAAGTACACGCGGGCACCGTGAGGATGGCGGTGGAAATGGAAATGAGGACCAGAAGGGAGGACGACAGTTGGAAGTGCAAGGCGGTGACGGTGGATGCGAAGAATGCGAGCAGAATCAAGATTGTCTGCAGAGACGAAACAGAACATAATATGGTCAAGCAAGCGGCCGAGAGGATGGAATTGGCGAGCGGAGTGCGCGTGTTCCGCGACGAGTTGTACCCAGTCAAGTTCGACAATGTCAACCGCACGGCTGTCCTGGGCGAGAACGGCAACATCCGACCAGGCGCGGCCCAGGTGTTCGGCCAAGAAAACGAGGCGACGGTGGCCAAGATGTCATGGCTCAGCCAGAAGGATATCCCGAAAGCATACGGATCGATGGTGGTGTATCTGACAAAGGCGGCAGACGCGGGAAGAGTCTTGCAGGAAAGATACTTCCACGCCGGCGGCGAGTCGGGGTACACCAGCGTGTTCGAACGAAGGCCCCGACCGGAGCAATGCTACAACTGCCAAGAAATCGGTCACAAGGCGTTCAAGTGCAGGAAGGCACAGAAGTGTGCTAGATGCGCTCAGGAGGGTCACCGCCACGACGAGTGCCGGGAGGAAGTGCTGAAGTGTGTCCCCTGCGGAGGACCGCACGAGTCGTTCAGCAAGAGCTGCCCGAAGCTATACCCCGGCCAGCATGAGTAGGACATTCCAAATGCTCCAACTCAATGTGGGGAAGCGGAAGACCGTACACGAGAGTGTGATGAACGACGAGCGATTAAAGGACTTTGCGGCGTTAGCGTTACAGGAACCACCGGCTTCGAAGGATGGCGATCGGCTGTGGACCGTCCCGATGAGACACCCTAGGCGGGCCAAGATGGTGCCGACGGTGTGGCGAGACGGACGGTGGGGAGCGAGGAGCATGCTCTGGGTGAACAAAGACTTGGATGCCGAGCAAGTACCGGTCCCGTCGCCGGACGTGGTGGTATGGCTGCTTTGTTACGCGAAAGAATCATGATTACGCGGCAGTCTAGGTCTGCTGGCAAAGACCCAAGAGACTTGACCATCGCTGCTAGTTCTGCGGTGTACGGGCTTTGTTCGTCTGGCGTCGCCACAGTCCATTGGACCGTCATTAATTCTCCGCCTGATTTGCAAGACAGAGGGAGCACAATGGCGCCGCCCATGCCTACAAGATCGTTTCGCGCCGCGCTGCTTGTGGCGATGCATACTGCTCACGTTGCGTTGGCCGCCTCCATTGCCTTGACGCCGTCGTCCTTAATCGTCGTCGGTATTCGTCCTTTCCACGGCTTCAACGCGTATGGGTGAATTGTTTCCATCTTGCTAACCCGATCATCCTTGTGCGCCGCAGCGATCAGCTGCAGCGGCGACTTGAATCATGTGAAGCTGCGTGTCAGGTGTTGATCTGTTTTGCTAATACTTCGTAGAGGTGCAGCGTGTCTACCTACATAGACCCTCTACCTTGCATCCCCTTGGATCCTACTTCCGCTCTTTGCGGGGCACTGCGGTTCGCAAGTCAACACAGTTGCTCCTTAAGCCTACCCCAACAGCCTCCTCGTAGGTTCCATCCTCGACAGCCGCCTGAAAGGTCCTGTCCTCTCAGTTGACTGACATGCGCGTCCGTCCTCTCGAGCCATATAGAAAGTGTCGTGTCTGCGATCCGCCCATCCAGTCCTCCGTCGCTTCCATTATACGCCGCGCCCCGCAGATTATCAAATCTGTTTCGCGCTGCCTCACAAGATCTCTTCCGCAAGGCCGACCATGTCTCGCAGGAGTTCACACACTTGCATCCTCTCTGTAGCCAATACAGCCAAGCGACGCAGTGTTGCCCCTCCTACTAATCGAGGTGCTTCGTCGGTCTCTGCGGGGGTTCGGGAGTGTCGCTTCTTGTCCTACTCGTTGCTCTTCTTTGTTCGCTCGCGCTCCTCGACGCCTCTCGTCCCTTTCGACAGAGTAGCCCAAAAGCACCATAAGAGTGCCCTATTCCACAACCCGTATGTCCATCGGTTGTAGGCTCGATTTCGCGGTCATAGGTCGGATGGTTTCAAAGTGTCCCCTTGTGGGCTGTGCACGGCAGGGCTCGCGAGCCCTGCCGCTGTCGTTGCCAGAACCAACGGACAAGTGCTAGCTCCTAGTGACTCTTCTCGGCTCTGTCAATACCCGGGACGAAAGACTTCACAGGTTGCCAGCCAGCACCACGTGGAGGTGAGAGTCGTCGCTGACCCCCAAAAACCACAGGTGCGGATGACAACCGCAAGTGGGACCAGAAACCGCAAGTGCGGATGGAAACCGTAAGTGGGGCCAGATGGCCCGCACTGGGCGATTCGTGCCCGCGCCGGTCCCAGACGCGCGCGTCAGGCTGGCAACGAGGTGATGCACGAGACATTCGAGTATGAATTGAGGAGCGATGTGACGAAACGAGCGTGGCTGGGTTTACTACCATTGAGCCAACGGGTCAAGGTCACAATGTTCGATCAGCAATCATGAACTACCGGATTCGGGTTGACTCGCAGACGAGGTCTACATAAGGATGGCAGAACCCAACTTTGTAGGTGACAGGAGAACGATCATCAACAATAAGAATGTTTTTCTCGTGATCATTGGTCACCCCTCCCAAGACGTCAAAGTTAGCCCTGATAAGGGCCCGTACGTCTGACAGTTTCACTCGCTTGTGTGTTCCACTCGCTTGTGGTGTACGTATCGAACGTATGGATAACATCCTGCTTGACGATACGGCGTTGGAGGAGCCTGTCGGACGGGCTCGTTCGGAGGAGGACCAAGGGTGACGCAATAGCTTCGCAAAAGCCCGATTGGGAAATCCGAGTTATGTGACAGGGGTCTTCCGCGAGTTCAATATTGTTGACATCAATCTACGGATAGCCTCGTAGACATCAATCCACGAGCACTCTACTGAGTAAGCGTCAATTCAATCCACAACGTCGGACATTGACGTGGATGGATTGATTCCCAACCCTGCCAACAATTCTCGACAATCGCGCCGCCAAAACGCCGAGCCGCCCTCGCCAGCCGTCCAGCAAATCCACCTCGACTTCGGCCACGACAACCGCATCCCTTATCTTGAAGACACGCCCTTCTATCACCAAGGAAATTATCAAGAGCGAGTAGAGGTCCGCTTCCGCAAGCAGCGTCGCGTTGAGGCCCTGCAGCACCGTCGAGGCATGCAATCATGTCCGTTCGGCCAAAGCGACAGTGTTGCGCGGCGAGGTACTAGTGCTCAAGAACAGGGTGCTGCAGCAAGGCGGCTGCAGCAGCTGGTGCGGATTGAGTCTGGTGAAAGCAGTGAACTGATGATGGCGGCCACAGCGAGAGTGACGCCATGGTGTCGCCGGGGTCCCCCGGATCACGTGGCTCCGACGCGTAAGTCTCTCATCATTGTGGCACGATTCTGGAGGCCCCGCAGACCCAGGCTCTCTGCAATTCTTGGAAGCAGGAGGGTCTGGGGGGTAGTCCTCCATCTGTCTGTGGGCGCATGATATGGAAGAACGCTGCTCGTCCCGTGACGACGACTAATGGACCATCAGCGAGGCCCCATCTTCCTTGAACTTGCTGTGTCCTTTCGATGGGGGAGAAGTGCCAAGGTCAACAAATTACAGCCAAACGAATGGGACGGGGAGCAACCTGTCCCAATTGGTTCGCGTCTGGCGGAGGGGTCCGGGGCAATATCGACCAATCTGACCAGTAGCTGTCGAGATCCTGCCACGGCCCAATTTTGCCAAGTCATTCGGCATCGAGGTCGCCTCAACGCGCAATGTTTTTAGCGGGACATCCTCTACGTGAGGCGGCGGCTGGCTGTATTGGGCCATGAGTGGATTAGTGAGGCCACATAAGGATCGTAGATGTACTTCATATATCTGTTGATGTTGGAGGTACTGTGTCGAAGCCGATTCTCATGAGCTTGTCGCAAGAGTCGTATAACGAAGAGGTCACCGCAGCCGTCAACCTGCCCTGCAAATGCAAAGGCCCAACGGCATCGCCAGTGCGCATCCCCTGTCCCCTGTACCCCTTATCACATCTCCCACACCCTCCAATCTGGTGCTAGCGAGGACGGGCGTGCCAGAGTTCTCTCCCCAGCCCCCAGGATGTTTACCCCCCAGCTTGGACCGAGGGCTTTCAGGCACTACAAACTTGAAGAGAAATTGACTTGTCATCGAGCTGATCGGATCGGACCATGGTCGGGGTCCGGTCCGGGTCTGATTGGAGCCTACAAGCCAAGAGAAGATTGGAATCCATCGCTGTCACACTGTAGGAGATAGGTCAGACGATCACAGCGAATCAGTGCCGAAGGAGTTCCGCCAGGGGTGCGGTCCGCAGCATGTGTTAACAATGGAGAAAAGGGTGACGAGACAACGAATGCTGTCGATGAAAAAACGCAACCAATAACATCCCTGGCGAAAGCACTGGATACAGCCCATGTACGGAAATCCCCAACAGACGCGGCTTGGAGGGTTTTCGCTGCCAAATTGTCAGACAACTCCTGTTTGCAGGACATCCATGACCGGATCCGGATAGCCACATGAACTGCCGGATCCGGGTTGACTCGCAGACGAGGTCTACATAAGGATGGCCAGAAGCCAACAAGGAACACAATCACGAAAAAGAACTTTTTTTCTCGTGATAATTAATGATCTCTCCCAAGACGTCGAAGTTAGCCCTGATAAGGGCCCGTATGTCTGACACAAATATACCCTGAGCCCCTCACCCAAGCTACCGGAACAGATCCGGGCTCTAGTGTCTCGCAATTGGGCCACATGACATTTGCCGGGGGTGCACAGGACCTTACAGCAGGAATGTTTGGAGCTCTAGGGCCAAAAAGCATTCAGCTCCGTTGGTACAGGACATCGCGAGTGGACGTACTCTTTGTGTTGGTGGGATGCAACATGAATCCCGCGATCTCTCTGGCCCCGAATCATGGGCACCCGCTCAGGCCGTGTAGTGATGGACATGCCGACCTGTATGCCTTGCGGCGCGAGCCAACCCGTCATTACCTTATGGAGTTTCATTCTCGATAAACCTCAAATACACCTATAGTTTGACGTGATCAAGATCCATTACGTACTCCCAAAGTATCCCCCAACAGGGCGCGCCGTCTTGTCGACGCGGTCGCCAACCACCCCCTAGTAGTCCCCGTAAGGATGTATGGTCGGCGTGCCTTCCATTTGTCCTCCGTCATGTTGGAAGTCCATGCCGGGCCATGCCATGTTCCAGTCAAAACGGAGACCGTTGTCGCTTTCTGCATCGAAGGGGGGCGAGCCGCAGGCGCCCTGCCCCTGCGGCGTGACAGGAGACAACTGACCGCGGGCGAGATGGCGGTGCGAGAGGAGCTGTCGCGATTCGTCTTCGTGATGTTGGGCTTCTACGACAGGTTGACCGCGGCGTTTTTGGTATAGCTCTCGATGAAGGGACCACCGCAGCCGTCATGTTGGAGGACCATGTCCCTGAGCATGAGCACCTCGCCGCGCAACTTGGCGTACTTTTCCTGGAGGCTCTCGTTGACGGCGCTGATGGCGTCCTCTTGGGCCTGCAGGTCCTCTATGCCACGCTGCTTGCGGGCACGGTACATGTCGGCGGCTGCGCGATTGCGGGCGCGAAGGCGCGTCTTCTTGTCCGACCCGGACGCTGGCTTATCGGTCTGAGGGGAGGGTGATAGGTCGATGGAGAAAGCCGACGAGTAGCGATCGAATTTGGTCCCGGGGGCTACCGTCCTTGGACTGGTTTCCTTGTCCTGCGCCGGTCTCTTCTTTGGGGGACGACCACGGCGTTTTGGCTGGATGGATGACAACTGTGCTTGCAGCGGCTGGTGTTCCGTCTCGTGAGATGGGCCATATGCGACCGGTACTGACCCGCTGGAAGCGAGGACGAAGTAGTCAGAGGACAAAGCGCCCTGAGCTGTAGTATTCGTGGTATTAGAATGGGCTTCTGGCTCTGCTTCGGGTAGAACGCTGTCCTTGTCATCGCGGGCCGAGGAAGGCAGAGGCACGACCGACTGGCCAAGTAACAGTGTTCCTAGTGTTCCACCACCCCAGTAATCCACCATGCTCGGCAGATAAAGATGGAATGGGGGTCCGAGGCCATTGCTTCGCTGTGTTGGTATGTGAGGCTTCGGATGTGTCTGGCAGTCTCGGGCCTGCCAAGCCTGTACAAAGGTGTTTAGCAACTGGTACTGGAGAGATAGAATCCGGATTGTCAAATCCGCCAGAAGCGAAGCCTGGCGGCCCCCATGGCTTGATATACGCATCCGAGTTCAACCACCAGAACAAGTCATCGCTCTCGGAGACCCGGGCAATCTCATAAGCTCTCTGCATGTCTGG